CATCTCTCAAGGCACCATGTCATTCACCTGCTTCAAGTTCAGGTGGCCCAGCAAGGGAAGAGTATCGTTGGAGGCCTGGCTTCTTCAGACGGTTTCCATATTTTGGATTGGTTCCCTTGCTGTTGAGCGTCTTCTGTGAGTAATGGAACTCCGGCACATCCAATTTGTATCAATGAAACACATCAGTGTAAAGCCACAATTACTTACACATACGCGGAGCAGGTACTAATGCCACCATGTCAGTCATTCTTCGGAGTAACAACAGTCTCGTTAGCGAATGGTCAGGCGTCTTACAACCCAGCATTCTTTTGGCCTACACATTGACTACAGCAAATGCCTTGATGGGCCTTGCCTTCGCCCATGGCTGTATTGTCTCCTTCTGGACCATGGAATTGGAGGGAAGATGTGTATAACCAACCTCTACTACCATTGGGAAGGGGCAACAGGTATTTTTGGGGCTTTAAAAGCACTGGCTAAAGGCAGAGCTATCCGAATTAGTTTGGGTAAGTTTTACCCGACGTGTATGGTGATCATTGAGCCATGATTACATCCACTCCTGAAGCGATGCTGTGGCATTTGCGTTCATACTCATCCATACCTCATAACTCCAGTTTCTATCCTCGTCGCTATTACCTCTTTACTTCGAGGCCCCTTGATGCAAAGGGCCCTGCTCGTCCAAACACGTGAGGTTGTCGAGACGGATACGATCGATATCCCAATTTATCCAAAAGGGGACTTCTTTCAAGACGAAGTTTTCCACCGCCAAACCCAGTGGTCTCAAATGTTCGAGGACGGGGTAATTGATGGCACCAGGGCACAAGACAGCTACTTCAACGTATTGCGCGAGTTCCAGGCCAAAACTCCAGTGCATATTCCGGGAACCGAGTCCTGTACGAACTGTACACTCACCGTTACTACTTTGGGATTCGACTATACAAATTGCTCTACTTCCACCTTTCCGCTGGATTTATCCGCTCTCTCCGTAGACAATCCCCGTATTGAAGCAGAGATCTTCAGTACAGAGGTCTACGATACGACTTGGCCCGTTGAGGGCCGGCGGTGGGTAACAGGAATCTTGGTCAACGTGACCAGAGCAAAGTCAGGGCAGTGCCATAACCCCGAGCTGGTCAATCAAGAGTGTTGGTTGCTTCCTTCGTTGGTCAACTACACCTTGGAACTAAACGGGGGCATTGCGACTTTTGCGTCGGGTAGCTGGAAGGCCGACCATGTTGTTGAATCGGAATCCACAGGAGCTTCCAATGACAGGGTTCGTTACATAAGGACTGTGGGGTACATACTCTGGAAAGCGAATACAATAAAGAAATATGCCTTGATCGGCCCCAGCATTTACTCAACAGCCTTGGCCGAACACCATGGGCTACTTTCCTACCTTTACTGGCAGGGGCCCCAGGGTGATGATGGGTGCAACATATATTTCCGAGATCCGATGGATGATATACTCAACGACATCCGCGACGTCATCTTTCGGCTATCTGTCATAGACACAGCAGTTTGGAACGGAGTTGCCCGCTCCAACAATCTTCCGAGCATACATCAAACCGTCAACTACCAGAGCCATAAGAGTCACGTTATATACGTAGCTCAGCGCCCAGCCCTCATCCTCGCGATGGCTGTCAGTCTCATCGGACCGCTCGCAACCCTGATGCTATTCTGGGGCTAGTGGAAGCTCGGGAGAGACTTCTCAATGAACCCGCTCGAACTCGCAAATGCGTTCCTCCTTCGTCCTGCGCAGACAATGGCACCAAAATTCACACCAGACAGCAACTATTCCGAGTACAAGCACGCCGCTACCAGCGTGGAAGAGGTCACCGAGACAGCGACGACAGGCATCGTTCTTCCTCCACCGCCTCGCCAAATCAACAATCAGCTAGCAGCACTACCACTTCTCGCCAGCGGTAGCAGCAACGCCTCAGTTAAGCAGATTGTCAAACACATTCGTCGAAGGACCCAGGATCAAGAGAAAGAAGAGAAATCAGAATGGATGATGATGTTGATGATAATGGCGGTGGAGCGAAATGCACGAGAGAGCCAACTATACAGTACGGCGTCCTTCACGTTACTGGGCGGCTTGGGTTTGCGGTCTCGGCTCCAGATGATGCGGAAGATATCCTTCCGCTTGCTCGTCAGCCGAGGGAGGGGAGATTTTGTAACTTGTAACCGAAAGGTTCGGAGCCAGATAGATTTCCAAAGAGTTTCAGTTCGCGTCAATTTGATGGGATATCTGAACGAGTACATGCCATTTCAGTCCTGAATGTCGATTCACTCGGTCTTCCTGATCATCACGTAATCTTTTCCTCCTATCCCATCGTATCCAACTTCTTCAGCATCCCCTACCACCGCTCTCCTGAGCTCGTTCGTATCCCTCGGTTCCCCCGGGCGTGGGCCGCGTGCCATCCGTTTCGTAATCTCATTTCAGTCATAAACCTCTTCGGCCGCTTCCTCCTATTTCCATTCGTATCTCTCCCTCACGTCTCCCTCCCTTCCTCAGCCTCCAAATCTACCTATCTCCCGACAGAATCCCCACTCCAAGTCCAACCAACTCCCGATCCAACTCCATTATCCCGTTTTCTTGTGGTCCTACGAGAATCCCAACCATGACGACCCAACAAACCAACCAAGTCCGACGCCGTGCTTTCCACGCTATATCGCGGCGGATAGGAATTTGCGCTAGTGCTGCTGGTGCTCTTCTTAAACCATGGAAACCCGTTCCTCTTCTTGCTTGATTGCCCTGGTGATGATGGGGAAGTGGCTGATGCTGATGACGAATAAGGAGGTGGCGAGGATGGTTCTGATGAGTGCGGAGAGGAGGGATTGCTGAAACAGCGGGAGCAGGGGCAGGACATCTTGGCTTCTTCTTTTGTTGTTGGTGATGATGATGGTATTGTTGTTGGGCGAACGAAAGGGTCAAGTTGTTATCGTTCCGACTTTGGGTAACGGGTGTTGAATGATGACTGATGAAGGTATGGTATGGCTGAGTGTTCTGGGTTTTCTGTCGAGGTTTTGTTGCTTAAGTGTGTTTTGTAGGAAGTGCACGTCCTCCTCGAACTCGATGACGGATTGATTGACGACTTGGGAGGTCTGTGCGACTACGCATGAAACAGTCTGTGCAACAGTGGACTGCTAATCGCTTTGATGAACTCGTACGTCGCTCTTGTAGCTGTAACAATTGAGATTTCGTAAAAGTGGAAGCAGAAGAGAAATCGCGGGAGAGAACTCCGGGAGGCATAGCCCATTAATACACTTCGCAAGTTTATGCGCCAAGCCAACCACATGCTCTCAATCAACCAGCCGAGTCCATTGGGGCCATTGGGGCCATTGGGCTCAGGTTAGTCCTGCACCAACAGCTCAGCTGGTACAGCATGAAGGATTCAAACCAACGATGGATGGGCTTGGCGATGTATAGGTATACATACAGTAGGTGTTTTTGGGGAAGTGAGGAGGAGGGGAAAGCGGAAGGGGTGGAAGGATGGTGGCACCACTATCAGGGCTCAGGGGGTTCCCGTCAGACACTTCTTGGTCACTCCTTGTACTACCATATATTGCTTTCGGATATAATCATCCTTGGGGAAACCTGTTAACAAGTGACTTTCCCAGGAACTCTTGGATGATTGAAGTGACTGGCAAGAAGCAACGACAATCATACCCAGGAGAAAGGAACACTACCATCCTAGGAAACATTGAACGAAAACGAACTCATGGATGGAAGTGAATGCAGGAAGAGTCCAGGCCAGCCACACCTTTAGGTTTCAGTTCCAGGCTCCAAGAGACTTCTCCCTAGTTTGCCCTCCTGGCCTGGGGGAGGGGCACATGGGGATTGAGGTCAAGGATGGTAGCGACACTGCGTGATTACCCGACCCCGCATCGTCTGATAGGTCGGACCACGATCAGCACGCTATGGGATGCTCGGCAGGTGGTATTTTTACGCTTAAATTGACCTCACGTTGGGCATGGCTCGACTTGGGGACTTTGTAGAATGATGGGATGGCAACCTGGGCGGGTGTGGCGTGATAAGCCCAGGGCAGGGAGGTGATAATGGGGAAAGGGACTTGGAGAAATATTGAGTAGGCGAATGCTATGCCGCTTGTGATGATCTAGTGTAGGAAACCGTCGGTCGAAGAGAACAGAGCAAAAGGTGCCGAGGTGAACTAAGAGCTTTGTCGGAAATGGATCCCGCTGTATCTCCGACACGTGTTGTCGTGAATGATCGCTCCGAGGAAAAGGGAAAGCATCGGGATGTGAGATGATTGGGCAAACTGCTACGTAAGACAAAGGAATGGGGGAAGGCCGTCGTCGCCAGCTTCGAGAGTCTAGACCATTTGGGGTTGGGATCTTGAGGAAAGAGTCCACTTCCCCGCAGAAACAAAGGTGTGGGGGGTGATCATCCGTCTATGGGTTAGGAAAAGCGGAAAAACCTCCGCTGTTCTTGGTTTTTTGGGGAAGTGGTCAAGTGGTGAGATGAGATGTTTGGGATAATTTGGGGTTTTGCTCAAAGATGGTCGACGACTTGACGTTGCGAGTGGTGATGCCAAGACAATCATAAATCTGGGGTAAAACTCCATCGACGAGTCTTGTTTTTGGAGCCAAGAGGCTTGGCTTCCCACGACTGACCTCGACCTACAGGAACGCCTTCCTGTGATGGGTTAGACTTGGGCGGATTCCAGGATTGTGTATGGATGGGGAAGGTCACAGTCGTAATGAGCTGACGGTACCTCCGAGGTAACTTTACTGGCGCCAAGTTCGCAAATGTGATGTGCAACGAATGGCTTGGACAGAAGAAGCAGATCGTCGAAGGGGAGAAAGATGCGACAAAGGTGAAAGCAAAGAAGAACATATCTCCTCCAACACCATCGATAAAAAATACAAGAATCCCAGAAGGACCAGTACGAGCCAGATTACTCCCACTTCTTGTCTAATCTCTCAATACCCAAACGCCAAGATGATAGCGAACAATACAATGAACAAGACATTTCCGCGGATGCTCAGTCCTCATCAAGCTCGCGGCCATTCATGATCTCCACGACCAAGAACCCAACATAGCCAACGAGCATGGCGACGCCCATCCACCGTCTACCACCCATCATCACAATGCCAAAGATAACCACAGCCGATAGCCACATCACGGTAGCCTCAAAGAGCGTAAACCCAAACTGCAGCTGGCTGGCATCTCCCCAGATAAACAACACGCCCCCGCAAAGGGTGACCAGAAAGATATTGGAGCCGACAGTATTGGCAACCATAATGCCTGGTTGGTGTCGTGCACCTCCGAGAATGGCGACGAACTTCTCTGGGAGCGTGGTGGCCAGGGACAGAATTGTGGTGCCAACGACAGTGCCGGATAGGGCCAGCTCGTGACCGATAGTCGATGCGCTGTGTGCTATGATGTAGCTAGAGACGAGCAGGGCAGCGAGACCGAGGGCGAGTTGGAAGACATGATGGCGCATTGTCTTGGGGCGCTTATTTATGACCTTGATGGCCTTGGACTTCTTCTTCGCCTTTGCAACTTTGTTCGATGAGGGCTTCAGCAGGTTGAGTTGATGGCCCTTGTCGGAAGTCCATCCTTGTTCTTCGTCGCTGGGGCGCTCCGTGTCGCTGTCGTCGGCGTTGATGGTTCGGTCGTCATCGTCGTCGCTCTCAATATTGCGATCGTCATCAGTGCTGTCGCTGTCGCTGTCGCTATCAGAGTTTTCGGGTGCCGTGAGCATGCCTCGGTAGATGAGAGACGCCACGGAGATAACATAGACCACGAACGCTGCGATAAGAAGAATACCACCAAACCATTGGAAAGTCGACCCCTTGAGCGCAATGAGCAGCAGCAGAAAGACTGTCGTCAGACCGAGAAGGGCAGCCGAGTAAATCTTGGAACTGCGGTCAAACTCGGCCTTTTTCATGAACAGCAATCCCAGCGAGAAGGATGCGAGGATATTGGCGACGGATGAGCCGATCAAGTTGCCCAGGGCCATATTCGAGTTCTTTTGGCTCAGAGCGACGATGATAACGACGAGCTCTTCCCATTCGGCGCCGCAGGTCAAGAGTCCGACGAGAGTGGGCGAGACATTGAGTCTCTTGGCGACAATGGCCGTGTGGTCGATGAACTTGTCGGCGCCATATTCGAGGAGGAATAGGCCGGCGATGAAGGAGGAGATGTTGAAGAGGAGGGAGTCGACGGTCGCCATGGTGGGCGAGTGGTGGTGGTGGTTGTGATTGGGAGTAAAGAAAGACTGGAGTTAATCCGGAAGTGGAATGAAGGAATGGAAGAATCGAACACTTCAACTGGACATGTTCGATTAAATCGTACGTAGTGTCTCACTGCATCATCATGGGTCAGCCGTGGTGGGATTTTAATATGAGGGAAGGAGGCACCGCCGTCTTTTAAAGTCCGACGGTTGAACAAAGGACAAAGGGGAGGTGAGGAGCATCCCATCATTCAAGCATTCCGATACTCTGGTCGTTGGCGCTTTTTTCCTTCCCGTCACTGATCACACTCAGCTGTGAAGAGCTGAATGCCGCGGGGCCAATTGCATCTTCGCCTTTCCCGAACTAATAATTCCACTGCAAACGGGTGTTTATCGCCCCCTTTTGCAGCAGACGCCACGGTGGTGATTGCGCTTTCCAGACTTTCATATTTTCGGGTTGGAATTCCATTGATTTGGTGTTTCTCATCAACAACCCCTCTTCATCTTATTGCCGACGTCGGAATCTTGTGTCGCAGTGGTGAGCTCTTCTCTCCATGGTAGAACAAGCTGACCGCATGATAGCGAACCCCTCCATCGACCGAGTGTAGTGTTGGGGTGATGGAACATGAACGGCGGGAAAAAAAAAACTATCGAGTCTAGGGCAACGCCAGCAAACGCCAAAGCTGCTTGCCGCTGGCAAACATTGAGTGAGGTGGCTGTTAATGGCCAATGTGTGGCGGGCTGAATGCACGCGGTTACTAACCGCATAGCGCTGTCAGCCCTGCAGGAACATCGTCTTATTACCACCACTGAACAACTTCATCATCTTCACCTCCCTCATACGTTTTCTTCCAGAACATGGGATACTTCACACCGTTACCGGCTTGATCGACTCAAGTGAGGCTCACCTCGGCACTATAACACCTCAACTGCCATGCTCTGGCGGCATGATTCGAGCAATACATGCAGATGTTCTATCTTCGCCTCCACGGACGACAGAGACACACTGCTGGAATGCATCTTCCCTATTACAGTGGCCAGCCAAGGCCCTCTGTTTGTTTTTAACCCAACATGATGGTCAATAATTGGGATTCTTTGGCACTTCAAGAGGCAAAAACAGCCGACTCAGCTCTTGGTTTTCCTCCCTTTCGAGAGCCAGTCCCTTCCACAGCACGCATCAACCCGAACACTCACCAATATCTTCCTCTTGGCCCTTCTTCTAGACCACCTCAACCACAAAATATCGTCCCTTTTTCTTTGCTTATCACTCCTTGGCTCTTCACCACTCCAAGTTGACTGGAAGGCCAGACTGAGGTCCCCCTTCATTCCAGCCAGCCAGTCTGCACCGCTATCCCAAAGTGGCTTATGCACCCTTGTACCAATCCACCCATCAGCTACCGGCAAAAACGCCATTTCACCACCACAACATGCTAAACCTTCTTCTCATAGGAACAACTCCCATCTTCAGCCCTAGACCCCTCTCTTTCCTCTGAGGTAGGCCTCAAGCAGCATGCGGGTTTCTCTCTGACCTCTCGCCTCCCGCGGTTCGCGGTGCATAATGTGGTTGCAATGAGCGGGAAGCTCCCCGCCATCGTGCATTCTCATGATAGCCGGTGTCTGGGATATAATATCCCATGGCCCTCCTCTCATATTCTCACGACAAAAAGTGTTGATATTCATCCGCCCCTTTTCCTTCTCTCATTGCCTAGGGCAGGCATCTTCAGAATGGCTACCACTACAGACCTTGGTACCACCGAGGTCCGACCTCTCCCAGGAACCTCAACTACCAACAACTACGAGCAGGACGAGAAGAAAGCTACAGCCGCTCATGTCTCTCCATCCGTCTACAGCGAAGAAACCCAAAGGCCATGGGTTGCTGGACTGCGGACTTGGTTCGGACTGAGACCGAACCGCCATTCTCCCCCACCGGTATACCAACCTCGGCCATTCCCTTCGTCGGAACCGACGTCAATAGGCTCTAAGATCTGGAAGTTCTTCAAATTCTTAGGTCCAGGTGCTGTCATTAGCGTCGCTTATGTCGATCCGGATAACTACCAAACTGCCATCTCGGCTGGTGCAGAATTCCAGTATAAGCTGCTCTTCATGGTGTTGGTCTCCAACCTAATAGCCATTTATATCCAGGTAAGACTTATCAGCTACCCCTGAAATTCACCCACTTGCTAACCCCCCTCCAGTCCCTCTGCGTCAAACTTGGTACCGTAACCGGCATGGACCTGGCCCAAATGAACCGGCGCTGGCTCCCGCGCTGGCTCGACCTCTCCATCTACGTCGTCGCCGAAGCCTCCATTATAGCCACCGACCTAGGCCAAGTAATCGGCACCGCCATCGCGCTGAACATCCTCATCCCCAAGCTCCCGCTCGCCGCCGCCTGCGTCATCTCCGTAGTCGAGACTCTGCTCGTCCTCCTCTTCTACACCGACACGGGCGAGCTGCGTCGGGTTCGCATCTTCGAAGCTTTCGTTTCCGTTTTGGTGGTCGTCGTCTTCGTCACCATCTGCATCGCTCTTTCCATGGTCGACCACAGCAGCACCACCACCCGTGAGATCCTGCGGGGCTACGTGCCCTCGCGCGAGATCTTCGTTGATACGGGTCTGTACGCCTCGTGCGCTATTCTCGGTGGCACGCTAATGCCGCATGCGCTTTATGTTGGCACCTCTCTCTCACGTGCCCGTCTCTATGACTATGATGTCAAGCGCGCCCCCTCTCTGCCCCGGAGTCAGAGTCAGGGACAGGCTCCCTCCCCTTCCTCCAGCCAGGAGACACTTGCCACGGCTGCATACCGCCCCTCCCTCCGCGCCATCAAATCCTGCCTCGGCTACTCCATCGCCGAGCTAACCTTCACCCTGTTCACCGTCGCCATCTTCGTCAACAGCGCCCTCCTCGTCATCGCCGGCAGCGCCTTTTACGTCCCCGAAGAAACCCGCTCAGAAGACGACGAGATCTCCGAAGACCTGTACTCCCTCTACTACCTTTTCAGAGACTCCATTGCCCCCGCAGCAGGAATCATGTTCGCCGTCTCCCTCTTATTCTCCGGCATCTCCGCGGGTATAGTCTCCACCATGTCCGGCCAAATCATCATGGAAGGGGCGTTGGATATCCGTCTCAACCCGTTCTTGAGGAGATTAGTTACCAGATGCGTGGCGATTATCCCGGCGCTGGTGATTGCGCTTGCTGTGGGAAAGGAGGGACTGTCAAAAGCGCTCGTGGCGTGTAATTACCTACTGGCTATTGCGCTGATCCCGATCACGTTTCCTATTGTGTGGTATACCTGTCGGAAGAAGTATATGATGGTGCCGGCGGAGGATGGGAGCACGGAAGTGGTGGATATGAAGAATAATCTGGTCACGGCCAGTGTCGCGTGGTTGCTGTGGGTGCTTGTGGTGGTTATGGATGTGGCGACTGTGGTCTTGGTGTTGGTTGGGGATTACCAAGGATGAGGGCTAATGCTTGTTATGATTTTAAGGATTGTAGGGGAAGACATGTCTTTGTAGGAATTTGCGGACCTCTACCTACCTATTGTGGTACCTGACGAAGCATCAGTTAGGTTGTTACCACCGAGTATTCTTACCTCACATCTCTCTATAAACATCAGTCCGTCCAGGGTTTCTCCTCGAAGGCTAAAGGCCAATGTTTTATAGGCATATCTAGAACCAACCAAGGTGCCCCCACATCCCTGTCGGTGGTGGATGTCTGTCTGGCCAAGCCTCTATCGAGCGACATGGTCTTAGCCAGTGCATCCAGCTCTCTGCGAGCAGCCTGGCTGCTAAGGGCGAGAGCCTGAAAGGAGATAGCAGTCCGAATCGGCGCCATATTGGCCGCCATGTAACCAAAACACCAAACAACTCGTGCTCTGCTCGTCTGAGGAGACGCAAGCAATTGTTGAGTGTTGCACAAAGGGCAACCCTGAGGTTCTTTCACGCTGGCCTCTAGAGGATTGTGTAGCACCCACAGTGATGCAGGTTTTCATGCGTGCTTCAGCAACTGGACCTCCCGCTCCAGCCTCAGCTTATTTTCCTCGCCTCGGTCGCCTCGATCATAAACTTGGAGCCGTTGTTTGCTTCATGGAGAGGTGCTGTGGACCATGCACCCCTTTGGTGCCTCGGTGGCTCGGTGAGGCAGTTGTGAGAACACAACCCTGTCCATACTGTAGGGCAGACGAGGTCCAGTCGGCGATTTGATGCTTGGGCCAGCGGGAGTGGTATCGCCATATTAGGTTCATGTAGACTAGGTAAGGTAGGGGCGTTCAGGGCCTCATTCTCCTCGTTAAACAATATCACAAGAAGATCTCGGACTTCAAATCCAGCCCGGTGACGGGGTTTTGTAGAGGTAGATTGAGTTGGCTTCTCAAGTTTCCTCCACGAGCAGTTGGACGAATAGGTCTCAACAATTTGGCAAAGGACGGGGGTGCATGGTCCACAACATGAAAAGCTGGACAGAAAGCACACTTCCAGCGCGACATGAGGTCATCAAGATAAGGTAGAGGTATTCATGGTTAGCTGAACCCATTCACTGGAGAGTGGAATATGATCAGATGAAATGGCTTCACTGTCTGGAATGGATTTCATTTTGACCATATGAATGGGATCAAATGACTCGGAAACTCAGGATGATGGTGGTTCGAAAATGGGATGGGAGTGCCGTGTAGCGAGAACTTGGGTTTGGGGCAAAGAATGGAAAGAATCAATGGGAAGAAGTCAGAGCGCGGATATATAAGGAAAGAAAGGCCTTAAAGGCGGTGGTTTTGGCATGAAGAAAAGAACGAGCAAACTTAACCCTTTTTGTTCATGTCCCAGCAACAGCGAGACTGAGCTTCACTTCCATGTGTAACTGGGCCTCTCACCACCCCTCCCAGTCCGACATCCCCATCCCCATTACCCGCGTCCGTTCCCTTGCATGTCGAGGCCGTCTTCACAGCCGAGCACCTTTCATGCATGCCTCCGGACAAACCTCGACGGCATATGGACCAGCTTTCTTCCCTGGATCTGGCGATGCCATGGAGCTGGCTGATGTTGATTCTGATTAAGGTGGATAGGTAGTCGCCCTTCCGGCGGGCATCAGTTGGCGGAACGGTCACGCGCTAGAGTTTAGCTCTTTCTCAAGCAGTTTCGACTCCTGCACCGATGTCTGCTTGGTTCTTTGGACGTAGAATAGGGAGTGGGAGGGGGTGGGTTAGTTTGATGTCAATGATGGAATTCCATACCTCTAGATATACCCACAACCGGGGACGAATTTGCTTAGCCGGGAAGAGGTTAGTGTGCTTCCGTTCACGAGGACTCAACGGCATGGACATGACGGAAAAGCATTGGAATCGCGCATCGGTAAAAGGTATCTTCCAACTTGGCATGACCCGACAATATTCTCATCCATTTCCACTCATTGTTTTCAGTGTTCATCTCACACAAACCTGCCTATATGGCCAAGGCCTCGAAAGCAGCCGAAGACCGGGAGAAGGCCAAAGACCTCTAGGCACCTCATTTGTGGAGAGAAAGCGAAAGGAGAAGTTGGCATGGACCAACAAGAACAAGGAGAAGGTTCTGGAGACCGCCGTCGGAGTTCGTGAGCGTGCCAAAGCCTCGAACAAGCACTTTTGCACCGACTGCAAAATGCCTCTCCAATCCGCCAACACTCTCGTACACCCCGGTGTGGCAAAGGCCATGCTGAGCAAGTCGGAATAAAGTCTGGCGGCGCATCAAAACCTGTCTCTGCAGCAACTTAGCGGAGTCGCGATTTTGCGACAAAGAACAATGCCAACAAGACTCACTATTGTGAAGTCTGCGACAAGAACTTCGGCCTCAAAGTTCACCTGGACAAGCACCACAACGGAAGTCGTGGGGGTAGTGTGGAGGTACTACCGGATCTTCTGGTGCTCGGCCCCGTCCCGGTCATGAACCCCCTATCCCAGACCCTTTCCGGGGGTTGCGGCGTCCGGCGCGTTCCCTACAATCAGTCACACACACATACAGCTCACGATCATGTCAAATTAAGGTAGTTCCAAAACATGGCGGATGCTTTGGGTAGTGCCGCTAAGGAGAAAAGGACATCGTGAACCAGGTGGTGTTAGTGTCAATGGCGAGACTCACATAGACACTGGTAACTCTACGGATGCTGCCGAATAAGAAATCAAACCCGTCACAATTTATATCTCCCTCATTCCTCACTAATTTCTCGTCTAGACGTGACGCGTCTTCATCCCATCTTTGTCTGAGGAAAGCGATAGCTCAAGAACGCCGCAAGTTCTTCCATCCCTTCTTTTTTTTCCCTGGTTGTGGTGATCTCGTAGTTGAAAAATGCTTCGCCGGGAGACTCCCTTGGCGGTTTTTGCAATGCTCTCCATCGCGCGCCCCTTTGCGTACCTACCTGCTAACTGTATTCCGATCGAAGCGAGGATCCTGTCGGACCGCCGTAATCATGGCTCTTTCATAACCTAAGCGGCTTCGTCGTCCAGTCTACTGTAGTTAAAGGTGTATGACGAATGATTTCAATGTTGCCATTTTTGTTGACCCTTTCTTCCTCGTCAGTGTCCTCAAGATCCTCGTCGGCGTACTGAGTGGGAGCCTGGGTCTGGGGTGGGTTGGGGGATTGGGGATTATTTGATCTTGGTAGTGGTGACCGAGGAACATTTGATCCTCTGAGAGGCCACGTGTACCTCTTAAGCTCATCACATCCCCAAACCCAACATGCGCGACAAAAGATCTCTCCAACTTCGGGTAATGGAGCCAGGCCATGTCGTAAGATTCTTTCCATCTTCGCACCTTCCTGGCTGTTGCAAATCCTCGAGACCGCTACGACATACATGCTGTGCGCGTACAAAGACCGAGCAGCGGCACCTGGTCCAAGAGCAGAAGAAGTTCACGGAGACACTGGGCTGATCTGAGCAGGCAGTTAACCTCGAACATGTAACCGCTTTTTACCGTTGCCATGCGCGAAAAGACCATGGCGCATTGGCGGTCACTACAGACGCCCTTATTGAATACTAACATATCTTGTACACCTAACATAGTGTAAATAGGCATGTTGAAAGACCCCCTCCCCGGTAGGGGACTGCAGGAATAGCTCGATGGCCTCCATGTTGGTTGGGCTCATCCAGCCTGGCGGTGATGGTTGTTGTAGATCCATTGTCCTTGGTCGTTGGGGCAGACCGTGATTTGGAGAGATGCCCAGCTGGGTAGGGTGATGAGGGTTTGGACGGCGAAGTCTTGTAATTTCAGTCTTTCAATGTTAGACCACCTGCTACCTCAAGCCATCCCGCGGACCGGGAGTTTTCGCGGTCCCTGGCACAGTCTCTACTGCCCATTTTCTCCCTATCCGCCGCCTGGTAATCACAAGACGTAATCCATATGCAGCCTCCCACGAAATACTCCCCTTTGGTTCTCAAAAAGTTCAGACGAAAAGGACCAGATCTTCTCGTTACCATAGCAGCCATAACAAACACCCTCCTTGTCAAGCGAAAGACCTTCTCGAAATCCACGATATCTTCCACACTTCGAGACACCCCTGCTTATCTTTTCCTTATTCAACCTATAGCGGGGCAAGAAGAGTGACGAGACGACGGGAGGTATCCATCAAGGTATACAGTCGTCGGGTCGACTGAGGGTGTCCTGCCCTGACTGCCTATAAGAAGATCAGACGGTTTTTGCAATCTTATCTACCGTATTATTCGTGACGTGCCTTGTATTTTATTATATGCCTCGTCGCGTGTATGTAAGTGTGTGTGTGTGTGCCATATTGTGACCCCGATTGCTGCTTCGACGTGAAAGTGATTACCACTACTCTGGAAATCTTTCTTCCTTGTTTTTCTTCCTTTTCCCAAACCGACAACGGAACATATCAAGCGTCTTGAAGAAAGACATGACCAAGATCTTGACATACTCGTAAGGAACCTGTTGGTTAAGTTGTTGTGATCTTCCCACCCACTGACGTTTCTTCCTCCCTTTTCCAGTACCCGCGTAAAGCAAATCGTCCGCCCGTTTTTTTCTCGCCGACGTAAGTAATTCTTTCCTCTTGTTGTTGCGATCTTCCTTCGCTGACTTCTTTCTTCAGTTTTTCCAGCATCAAGCAAAGTAAGAAGCGCTCGCCTGCCTTTTTGTTTCTCCGTTGTCCCCCTCGCCTCGAGATTCTTGTAAGTAATATATCTCGTGCCGCGGACACTTATCACCATCACCATCACCATCACCATCACCTTCATCATCATCATCATCGCGCCTTCACCAATTTTTGTGATCGGGTAAACTCACTAGCATCTTAATCATCGCATTCTTCTCCTCACACTTCTCCCTCATCACACTTTCCTCACAAGTGCTTCCTTCGTTTTGATCAGGAGAATCACTGACAATATTTTTCTCACAACAACAGTACCCCGTCAAGCAAGACCTCGCCTGCCGTTTTCCCGCCCTCCTTCTTCCTCATCCAAAGATTCTCGGTAAGAAAGCCTGTGTATTGCTGCCCCCTCATCACCAAATCATCAGTTCCACCTCAGAAGCTCTTGGGACAAAGGAACTTCCCGAAACCCCTGCCATCACCCTCTTCCCCACAAGGTCCTCAACTATGATCGGGACACTCGCTAATACCTCCTAACTCCAACCGCAGAAATGGCTCCAAAGAACCAGAGCACCAAGGTCGTCATCGACGCCGCCGCCGCCGCCGCCGTGTCCCCTCCAACGGCAAGGCAAGACAACAGCCCTGGCACCCCCGACGCCAGAGCCAGCGTCCGCGGAAATGGTGGTGGTGACGACGCGCCCTTGGTGGTGTCCTCTGTGTCCTCTCCCGAGGTCCCCGTTCCCGTCGCCGCCCCAGCCCCTGCCCTTTCGTCTTCCTCCTCCTCCTCGGCGTCAGCGCCCTCCTCCGCTGCCTCCCTGTCTCCGGTCCCCGCGCCCATCGTCTCCTCCTCCTCCGCCGCCGCCGCCACTGGAACGGGCAACCGTGCTGGTACGGGCACTGGAGCCAGGTGGATGAGCGCCCCGGAGCAGGCGCGGTTGAGGTACGTGCACATGCGCGCGGCGGCCTCGTATATCGGTGTGCTCAAGTCGCCGTTCTTTCCCCAGGACGGAGCGGCGTACCTAAGCCACCTGGCGAGCGCCAAGGCGCGCGAACTGGAGAAGATGAAGGCCAAGCTGGAAGCTGCAAAGAAGTTGTCGAAAGATGCCGCCAGCAGCAAGGCAAAGTCGAAGTCGAAGTTGGGTTCAGGTTCGTCGTCGCGCTGGGCTCTGTTGCCTGTTGTGGGGGTCTCTGGAGGTCTTGCATCGCTGTGGGTGCCGCTTTACCACGGCAGTGATAGTTCAGAGCTGTCGCTGTCGTTGATAGAGCTTGACAATGACAAGTCCATGGTCGAAGGGGGTGTGATGAAGAATGACGATCATGAGGGGGGTGGTAAAGGCAAGGAGGGAAAGGCTGTGTCGGCTGTTGCTGCTGCTTCTTCAACGGAGGAGGCGGTGGCGGCGGCGGCAGCTGGAACCGAGCCGGCGTCATCTTCTGGTTCTTCTTCTTCTTCTTCTTCTTCCGCCTCTGGAGACGACCGTTCCGGGGGTAACGGGGGTCACCCAGAGACAACCTCAGCAGTAGCAACAGGGTCAACAACAGCGTTGACAACCTTCCTCTTCCTCCTGCTGCTTCTTCTTCTCCCTCTTCTTCTGAAGCTTTCACTGGTGCCTTCAACACCACCAACACTCCCTCCGACATCCCCTTCGACACCACCTCTGCTCCTGCCGGCAACCGTGGGTCCACCATTCGTGGCGGATTCACCCCCCTGCCTCCTACACCTTCATCGCCTGTCCCTCCCGCACCTCATCTAGCTCCCCTGCTGAAGGGCAAGACGAACTTGACGGAGGACTTCCTCTCGGTCGTCCTAGCCAAGCCGAATCCCTTCAATGGGTTCTGGACCGTCAAGTCACCGGATTCCAACGACGCCACCTCGCATGGGCCCGAGGCCGTCCCGTTTCCAACCGCCGCCGAGTACACCCACGAAGCCAGCCGCCCCAGCATCAGCATCCGCAACAGCAGCCAGGTTTCCCCGGGGCAACCCAGCCTGAGCAGCAGCGCCCGCGGTGGTGCTGGTGGTTCCAGCAACGTTCGTGTCGTTGGCAAGAGGAAGAACAAGAAGATGAAGAAGCAGAAGCAGAAGCAGAAGCAGCAGCAGCAGCAGCAGCAAAAGCAGAAGTGGAAGAAGAAGGGAGAAAAATCCAAAGATGTTAGCAAGCTGTCGCCCGACTCCGCCGTTGTGCCCTCTGTGTCTGGGGTACGGGGTGGTGGTCCGCCCAGCCGTTCCTGGCCTTTGCCTCGCTGGCAAGGGCACTTAAACAGGAATGGTGATGCTGGACACACCCAGAACCAGCACATTGAGTACATGGACGAAGGCTACGTACGCCACCTTTGGTCAGAAAAGCTGGAGCCGCATCAGCAGTTCGCACGCCTGAGGAAGGCCGGACTTGTTGGTGTTGCTGATGCACATGGCGCCGGCCACATGATGCGAGAGCCGATGGACGAGTCCGGGATCGAGGGCCTGAGAAACCCTCCTACCAACAGGACGCGTGAGCTCGAGTTAATGGTTGGTGCTGCAGAAGCCCAGTTGATTTCAGCAGCAGCAGCAGCAGCAGACAGGTGGCTTCGGCTCCTGATCTTGCACTTACTTATAGCGGTCTCGCCTCTTCGGTGGCAGATGAACCAGCTCGCACTTCCACGACGGCAGTGGTTGATGCCATCACCTCTTCCTCCTTCTCCGCAGAAGCCAAACCGTTTGTGCCGCGGTCCCTGGCCCCCGACGCTCCCGAGTTTGTGCCCTTGTCCTCCTCCGGTGTACATAGTGAAAGGGATTTGCTCTCTGCTACGGGTGAACGTAGTGAAAGGGATTCGCTCTCTGCTACTGCCGAGGAGTTCGTTGCGCCTTCTTTGGTTGCTGTCGCCCCTGCTGCTGCCGTCCCCCAGCAGCCCCAGTCGTTGTTGTTGTCGTCTTCGTTGGACCCGTCTTTGTCTTCGGTGGTTCGCCAGCCATCGAATGACCAGAACGACCAGCCCCAGCAGCAACAACAACTCACCAGAGAAGAGCTTTTGTCGAGTTCGGATCCTGGCCGCGTCAATTCCTGGGAGGATTACCGTCGTGACCACCCTCGTGCGCTCCGGCACTCGAGGCCGTCATCCCATCTTGGTCACCAGCGCAACCGCCACCAGCAGGTGTCCATATCGGTGCCTCGTTGTTACGGTTTTCCTGCCTCTGCTCCTGCTCCCGCCAGCCCCCCTCCCAGCGTGTCGCTTGCTTCGCCCGGCTCCCCACCCCGGTGCGACCCCAAAGCTGCCGCTGCCGCTGCCAGTACCCCCGAGGGAGAGAAGAAGACGTCGCCGGCTCCTGCCCCTTCCCCTGCCCCTTTCGACCCCAGCCGCCCCAACTTCGAGGAGAACTTCACGCCGCTTGGTCAAGCTCCTGCCTCTGCCCGCGCCCTCGCCAACGTCAAGAAGCAGCAGCAGCCCAAGGCGTCATCCAGTTGTTCTGCTGGCTCTCCCTCCTAGTCGGAGGAGACCAGCAGCAAATTGGACGCCGGCAACCCCCCTGTCGTTGTTGACGATGTTTTGGAGCAGGATATTTACGCGGCTAGTCCCGTTCTTGTGCCTTCTTCGGCTGTGTTTGCGTCGGTTGTAGATGTTGTCGGTGGTGAGAGCACTGGCAACAGCACAGCGGGCGTGACGAGCGAGACGAGAGGGAGGATCAAATGCGCCGTCAGCTGCGAAGTTGGTGGTGCTGGCGATGACGCTGGTGATGGCGATGACACTATTTCTTCTGGCGCTAGTGAGGTTGTTGGTGGTGACACCAAGCAAACCCAAACCCAAACCCAAGCCAGCCCAGCCCAGCCCCAGCTACCCCCCTTCGGCCCCGGCCCCGGCCAAGACGACAACGACAACCCGTTCCCGTCGGTTTACTCGGCGGAAGAGCAGCAGCTTTTGCTGCAGACTTACGCCCCTGCTCGCCCCGGTCCTGCTCCTGTCCTTGGCTCGGCTTTTTTCCCTGGTCCTGGCCCTGCGTCTGGCATTTTCCCCGGTGGTGGCCTTCCTGGCACCCCTTTCTTTGCTCCTGCTGGCCCTGGCTTGGCTTCTTTCTCTGGCCCTGCGGCTCCTGTAGGCAGCGGCGCTTTTTACCCAGCCGGCACCCCCTATCCTCACCTTTACCCTGATTTCGCCCCCGGTTTCGAGCTGGGAATGGGAATGGGCATGGGTATGGGCATGACGATGCTCCATCCCGCCCATGGACAGTACGGTCCGCCTGTTTTCTTGCCTGCGCCGCCTTCTCCTTACCCGCACGGCTACGGCTACCACCACCAGCCGCCTCCCCAACTTCAACACGCCCAACAGCCCGGCCACTCCCAGCCTCTTTTCCGTGCTCGTGGTGAGCGTCGTGTCCGCTTCGCCGACGTCAACATGGTCTTCCGCCTCCCTTCTTCACCTGGAGGGATCGTGGATGTTGTGTCGGTGCCTCAAAGTCGTCCGGATGATGGGACTGGTGGCAACTGTGCTGTGGCTGGTGTTTTTGTCGGTGCTGGTGCTGCTGGTGGTGGTAATCCTGGCTTTGGATCTGGATTTGGCTCTGGCTTTGAGTCTTTGTCTGGCGGTTCTGGTCTGGAGGAGGAAGAAGCTCGCCGTTCTGCTGGCACGCCTTTTCCCCGTGGTGATGCTGGGTCTTTGGGTGCTGGGTCTTTCGGTGCTGGGTCTTTCGGTGCTGGGACTTTTGCTGCCGGTACTGGCTTTTCTGGCTTTGGCGCTGGCTCTTCTTCCGGCCCTGGGTTCGAGTCCCATTCTGCGTCTGGTCCTGGGTTCAACTCCCTTCCTCTTTCTGCATCTGGATTCGATTCCCACAACAACAACGCTCCTGCCTTCAACCAACCTCAAGCCGCCAACACGGAGCCCCTCCCAGCTCCCTACAACTCCTTCCGTCTGTCTTCCCTACGCTCCTTCGAGCGGACCTGGCTCGAGTCCTCCGCCCAGTTTGCCTCAGCCTTTGCTGGCCTTGCTGCCTCTTTTGCCTCTGCTGCGTCTGCCGCTTTTGATTTCCCTGTTGCGCCCGCTGCTCAAGCCAACCCCCAGCAGTACCAGCAACAGCCCGCCGCGCCCGGCTTCAACCCAGGCTACTACCACGGCCACCACCACACCCCTTCCGCCGCCGGCCCCAGCCCTTCTTCGACCCCGCCTCGTTCTCGCATCGCCCCGCCTGTTTCCTGGGAAATCCTGGAGACGGTGGATGTGTGGGACTTAGTGGAGGACTTGGGGGAGGCTGGGGTGGTGGAGAGAGAGGCGGAGGCGTGGCAGTTGCGGGCGCCAGTTGGAGAGAGAACGTGGGATTTGCACTCCGGTGAGGAGCAGAGTCTGGGACTGGGTCTGGGATTGGGATTGGGAGATGAGGGGGAAGTGCAGGAGATTGGGCTGGAGGAGGTGCCTGTTGTGGTCAGGGAGCTGGTGGAGGGGATTGATGAGTTTGATGATTGAGTGGGGGATGATGAATGGGTTGGAGGAATTTGGTGTTCGGAGTTTGGGATTTGGGAGGTGGAAAAAGTGGTATGCGAAAGAACTGGGAACTGAGAACTGGAAGAAATTTTCATGGTTTTCGTGGCCTTTAATTTGCTTTTGTATGAGTAGGTATGATCAAGTTCCGGTTTGCTGGTTTTCTGCGTGGAGAACATAAGAGAAGGTTTAAAGGGTACCAGAAGTTGAGACCAGATCAAGGGTAACCACCCCACCAGGTTTCGAAATAACGAAGATTGTTGCCACCCATTAGCATTTTCCCCGTAAACTGTGATCGTGTTGAAAACTTGAAGTGATGCTATTTGCTGGCTTGTAGGTTTCATGATATTCTGAACGAGTAAAAATAAAGTTCAGACCTGCTTGTACTTTGAAAGGGTCGTTCGGCGACCAGGTCAGTGACGGCAGCACAGCTTGCCTCGCGAACTCTCCATTCCTTGCCCAGAATGCACTTGAGGAGGTCCTTCATGATAGCATCGAAATGCGTATCGATGACGGCGTTGGAATCCTCGACCAGCTCAAGCGCAGTAAGGCTTTCCAAGGAGATTAGTGACTAGGGTGGCGATGTAAGGGTTGAGTGCCCTCCCACCCTTCTTGCAGGTCTGAATCTGGCCACGCGGTTGATAGTTGTCCTGCCGGATGGACTCGATAGAGCGATGGTCTTGAGTGCCATTGGCGAGTCAAATGAAGCGGTGATCAAGATGGCGAAGATGTATGTGTTTGATACCCGAAGCAGACATGGTCTTGGACGGAGTCTCAGGAGTCATACCATCATCAAAAGAGAGCTTGGCCATGGGAGTGGAGATACGGGGGTTGACAAAGCGGTGGCGGCATTCTTGGGCGGGCGACCACGGCCATTTGACTATTTGATTGCGTATTGCTTAACTGGATATTGGGGACCGGGAAGTGTGAGGTCGCTGGCTTAGGAGCCAGTTGGCAGTTTGATGGCAGTGTCGGCAGCAAAGAGCTTGGCTGCCTTTACACCGTTCTCGATGCCTTTGTCCGAGAGCAAGAACGGGTGGGTGTAGTCAGCTGGAACTCCTCAAAGTTCCTGAGTCCATTTTGCCATGTTCTCGGAAGGTTGCGGCGCTTTGGGAGTGTAAGGAGCTCAGCGATGGCCGGATCATCAGGAACCGAAATTTCGGTCTTGGTAAGGGTCATGAAGTATCGCCAAATTGTTGGTTTGTTGGGATCGGATGGTTGCTTGTCGGCTTCGCGGTCCGGCTTGGACGAGATATCGGTATATGTTTTCTGCTGTTGTGTCGCGATATTGAGGAAAGCAGACAGGTCAGAATCGTCGTCGTCTTCCCTGCTGAGGTGGACAAACTGTCTTCGTGCTGGGCATCGGCTTCCTGCTTCTGCTTTGAGAAAGAGACTTGCTGGTTTGCTTGTTTGCTGAGATCGGGAAGGTTTTCTGTGTAAGGAAACCAAAGCTTACCTAGGTAGAACTAGAAAGTTCAGACCAAATCAGGGGTTCCCAGCTCAACTAGTTTTTGAAGGACAAGGATCCTTGTTACCACCCAGTATAGAATCCTTCTCGTGAACTTCAATCATCTTAACCCTTTTATCATCTTCAAAATAGGTGCCCAGCGGCGTTTGTCGTTTACTTTACACGTCGAATTCGCAGTCCCTCTTTATTCCCAAATTGTTGAATGCAGAACTCGGAGCCGTAACAACGAATTGTGGGACCCGGATTCGAATTGAAGTTCTTTTGCGGTAATCGGCTGGCTGGACCTTGAACTCAACGAACCGAGCTTGGTAGCGTGACGGTGGACAAACTGAACGAAGCCGCATTTGGGAATTGTTGTTCCCTACGCTTGCCTGCTCCCGCTGGTTCGAGCTTTGGGACGTGGTGTTCCGAACAGTGTTTGATTCAAGACCAGTTGGACGTCCTCATCTTCGCTACTAATGTCGATGACCTTGTGGGATGATGATCGGGTCGCTTGAGCCGGTGTGATTGGTGCCAAAGCAGAAGAATGCACGGTGGGAGTGGACGAGGGATCTTGGACTTCGCTTCCCCTGACTAGGCGGCCTCGACGTGGCATCTACTTCGCGAATCGGCATGAGCTCGTCGATTGTGTACCTGCGATCAGACATGTAAGAACTCCTGGGAAGTCCTGTTAGACGGGTAACTAGCAGGGACTTGCTGCTGTTGCTCGTCGCTGTCGACAACGATGAGTTTTTCCGGGCTTGACGTGCTGGTCGGCCCGCTTGGTGGGGACTGGAGCCATCATGGCGTTGGCAGCATTAGGAAACCCCAGGGCATCATGGCGGCTTTTCTGTGTCCGGTTGGCAAACCGGCAGGTCGGATGATATTGCCGACTTCAGGATTGCCCCCAGGCTAGGGATGCGATGTTTTCCCGTTGGCCCACCACCATCCTGCCGAGATGGCAATCAACCAGATGCAGGGCTACCCCATCGGAAACTCCCGTGACCGTCTCTCCTGGGGTCGCTCCCAGAACAACTCCAGCGTCGGCACCCGGGCGGCCAAGAGAGCCAGATCAGCATGCTGTTCATGGCGTAATTCTGTGGGTTGAAGCCACGTGGGGTTCCAGTCGGTTGCTGGCCGTTGGTTGGCCGGGTAGAAGGAAACACACCATGGCTACGGGCCATGATGTGGTTGCCTGTCACAAAGATGGCAGTTAGCGCTCATGACTCTGGTACGAAGGTACAGGGTATCCGGACGGGAACTTTCCTCTCTCTGAGATCTTCAGTCGCTTCAAGGATATCATGCAGTGCGTTGAAACCACGAAGATATTCCTTGAGCATGAGCATGTTGTTCAATTCCTGTCCGGCTTTGGCAAGCTCCGCGTGGGTTAGCAGGACCAGGCCCTGATGCGTGCGGTCGTGCTGGGCGGGAGTATAATAGGATGGTAGGTGTGGAGATTGAAACGGTCCAGAGGCCGTCCCATGAAGGGGCTGTCTGGGCTCGATTGAACCATCATCTATACGCGCTGGTCCTGTGGTGAAGGCTTAATGGCGTCGCTCGTCTCCGATGGCAACATCGGACATGGCTCTCCTGCTCGTCCGGCATGAAGAACCGCAGATCCTTCATGGTGATGTATCGCAACTTCCGCAAGTACAATCTTCCCGATCCTAACGGCACAAAGCCCACCACCACTGTCGCCGGTAATGCCGCTTCCGGTGGTGCCGACGGCAGTTCTGGTGCTGCTGTCGTTGAAACTCCCGTCAAGAAGAGCTCCTGCGCCAGTCATCGGACTGTGAGCGAGAACAACCTGGCTCTCAGCCAACTGGGATATTCCACGAGGGGTGCTCTGCGCGCCATTCGTCTGCTGCATGTTCCACTCTTCGCGGTCCGAGATGGGGTCAGCAGTCCTGGTGCTGGATGCATCATTCTGGATGGCAACCGGTGAGACTCCAGGGGCGCCGATAGCGTCAGGGTTGATGCAGGCAAGACCAATGCGGCGAAGAGTCTTGAGGATCTTGGATCGTGTAAATCGTCCATCCCTTGCAAAGGTACTGGTGACGGAGGACGCCTGATAGGAGGGCTGGTCCTGTAGTTCAGGTTCACGTTCGGGGAATGTTTGGTGATGGAAAGGTTGGCGGTGAAGATGAGCAGAAGAAATGGTCAGGAAGCTTGCCGTATCCGTTTGCTGCGGTGGAGTAACACAAATCGCCTCGGGTATTTGCCGCAATATTGGCTCCTCCAATCTCACGATGGTTTCGAGTTCCAACAGCAGTTTTATTGGCGAGGCGGAACCTCCAGCGTCAATACCAAGGTTTGGATAGAAATCGGAGCAAAACCCTCACCGAGGGCTTCACCGAGGGCCTCACCGAGAGTACCGATCAAGGTTCTCACTCGAGCTATCATTTGAGGAGCAAACAAAATGTTTCCTTGGTAAAAGAACGAGCGCAACACTTTATACCGATGTTCTTTCATATGCCTTCCCTTTTCTTTCCAACACCATATTCCAAAGATAGTAGAATTACAAGTAAAGGTACAAGTTAAGGAGCTTACAGCCGCCTCTATGTTTCAAAGAAAGGACGAAAAGAAAGGATCATGCTTTATCTGTATGACGGAATCGGCACTTCCCCATGGGGTCGCGAAAGGGGATGAAAAGGGTCGTGTTCAAGTGAAGGGCAAAGAACACTTCTATCTCGCTGAAGTCACGACAAGCTTCGGACACTCGGTGCAAGCCTGTTTCAGTCTGAGCTATCTGTATCGCGAAAAGCCGCCCGTATTCCCGTGGACGTGGAAGCAAGGACAGCTGAAGGATGTGAGACCAGTGAGATGAGATCTATGGCTGAAGAATATATGCTTTTTGATGTGTTGAGGGGAGCAGTCTTCGAGAAGGGTGGTTACAGCGACAGTATCGTAGAAATCGAAATCCGAAGGATGGACGGAAAGGTAAAAGTGGTCTTTTCTTGGAGGGTGGAAGAAAGGGCTGGCCTTGTAGGAGACCGAGATTCGCGAAGCAATATGTATGTAGAGGGTTGAAGTACAAGCAAACTAGTATATGGTTTGTGTGTGTAGGTCTTGCATTGGTAAAGATATAGAAGAGTGAAATTGCGATATCTTCATCAGACGTACGGAACAACGGTTTCAGTGGTTTGTATGCTTGAGTTTCCATAACTGTGATGTTCATTGTTCGACTCTGAGCTGTGTGGAAAGAAGGCCAGAAACTTGGGCCCGGTTGTTTTGCTATGTCTGCAACGGCACAAAAACACTGGAAAATAGCAAGCGAAAAACTGTAAAATGAACTTCTCTTTTGGGTTCATGAGTCTTGAGTTCTGTGCAATCTTCCAATCAAGTGCATAACCAGATATCGAAGAGTGTCTGGCCCGGGTTCAAGTCATGTTCCGAATGTTTACGTGCACCTCAACACCCCAGTCATTCAGCACTTGCAGAAAAGGGGGCGTCAGCCGCCAAGACTTCAACCACCCGCACTCGCCAACGCCAACGCCCTGGAAGCGAACAAGGGAACAAGGGCAACAGTTGCGGAACAGGGGGGTTTTTTGAGCCTGAGAGAAGAGAGATTTTCTCAATTCTAGAAGCCGTAGAAGGCGGTTGACGGCACAGGCGCACAGGGCTGTCATGGCCCATGGCGCAGGTATGACAACAGAAGATAACCAGATCTTGCATCTCGGTTCTTGGCTATAAAGGAGGGAGGCTCAGGAGGGCAAGGCGAGGGCATAGGCGGATCCCGAACCTTGTTCAGTTGCGGAGTTTGGTGAAATGGGAAATAACGGCTTGACCGGTTTAAAACCTTTCAACTTGGATGATGAACGGAACGGACGGCGGGGACTTGGGGGGCTATTGGGGATTTGACATGATTCATGAACCCTATGTATGAGGTACGGTGTTGATGGGGATCGTAGGTTTCCAATGGCCGGCTGGGTTGGGGGAAGATGGGATTCCGTCCGTCGTCGTCGATCAAGCAGACTTGCCCCTGGGAATATCAGATGAACTACTATCGTGTCTGGAGAAGGTGATGGTGTTGAAACATTGGAAAGGGGGGGAAGAAAGGAAAAAAAAAAAAAAAAAGGACATGCCATTGCAAATTGGTGATTGGTGGATGTCAGCCCCTCATCCGTTCTTAACGTTTCAGAAAAACCGCTGCACGTGCCATTGGAACCCCCCATTCCGGGTACACTAGAGGTACACTTTGTCCCACTGCAGTATAGATGCGCCATCTTGCACTTCACAGACGCCAACCAGACCTGTGCATCGAATCATCGCTGTCGAATGTGAGATGTCTCGATTGTTTTGGAGTGAACAGCTTTGCAGCCTGGCGTTCGATCGGGTGGCTTTTTTTGGCTTTGGGTTCTGAGATCTTGGGCTTTGTAGCTTTGGAGGAGTGCGTTGGATGTCGAAACCCAAAAAAGGAGGTTTAATTGCAGCTCAATGCTGCTGTGTATGTTACTGCAGTGTACGTAAAATGTAATAAGGGCTGCAATGCGGACAGCTGCTGTCTTTCTCCGTAGGTCCTGTATGTCTGTCATTTCAACAAACAAAGACTTTAGACAATGTGAACAATGTGAAATCTTCTTCATACGCAATATGGTCCGTCTCCCGTCATCCCGGAATCATGCCCATGGTGGCTCTGAGCACCGAGAAAACAATCCTGAGCAAGTGCGGTGAAGAGGTCCGTGAATGACAAAAGTACGGTAAACAACTGCAAGTGGATGTGTGGGTGGAGAGGGTGCCTGTTAGTCTGCCAGATACCCACAACTTTGACTTTGCCCTGGAGTTGGTGCGGGCTTGACGTACCCTGTACCCCGTACCATAGTCTTTCAGGGACGACAGGCACACTGACCGACCGGACATTTTGCTTACAAGCACCCGCCTGGCACTCCCCAAGTCCACACACAACGGATTCGTATCACGACCGTTGTACACAGCAGCGAGGCCCGACTTCCACTTCCACTTGTCCCTTCCACTTCCTCCAGACAACTACAATATTACCACAGTTGTTGTCTTGTTTTTTTTGGCAACTCGAAAGCGACCGTGTTCCATTGCAGCACTTTCCTCGTCATTGATCACCCATCGTCGACCAGTGAGGGGTGACAGAGGGATCATCTCCGCCATTGAGCATCCAGCACTCCCACTTGCATTGTATTTCCGTTATCAATGGCCACTCGCCCTGCCGCATAAACAACCACCACTACCACCACCGCAACCACTGAACCTGTCGCCCGCTCTTCTCGACCCGTCCTTGTGTCGCCGCTTCGTATATTGTTCACAGAAGGACTGAACGCGACCATTTTTGGGATCCCACCACCGAGAGAAACAAGAACAGGATGTCGGCATCCGAAGTACAGGAAGGGGCTGCTGCCGCCCTCGAGGAGGTTGCTACTACCAAAGAGGTCCCCAAGGAGACGGTCCAGGAGGTCACCAACGACCACGAGAAAGAAGACGCTGCTTCCTCTCCCGTAACAGAGACAAAGGACAAGGACAACCAGCGACCAGCCTCTCTCGCTCCCTCCACCGACTTGTCCGACACAGACGACAAGGACACCGTAAGTCCCATCCCTTACTTGCCCCTGGGGAGGACAAGTAGGACAAGTGCAACCCAAAACTTCCAGATGCGCAAAGCAAGAGGGCCTACCTAGTACGAGAGCGTGTGCTGACCAGCGACAACAACCGTTGTGGTTATTCCCATCATGCAGGATACTTTCGAAGATGCCATCGACACAGGTTCCGTAAGGTCCCTAACAAAACGTTCTTCCTCGTTTAACCGCCACGCTCCCCATCTATGGACGATTCCGCCGCCGATTCCGATCACGACGCCGTCTCCCACACTACAGAAACCCCCCAAGTTCCCAAGACGACACAAGACAAGGAGGACGAACAGGAAGAGGTCTTCGAGACCCCGGCAACGGAGCAGGAAAACAAGTCGCTACACCGCATCTCGCATGCTTCCAAGGCCTCAGAGGCGTCCGCTTTCTCAGCTGCATCGCTGGACGATGTAAGCCTAAATGATAATTCTACAATTGGTGACACAGGTACGTCAAAACGGTCTTAAACCCCACCAGGGATATACTGACAAAGGAGTCCAGAAAAAACCCTTGATACGGCGCCTTCATCAACAAAGAAGCTCTCAATAAGCAGTATAGCCAGTGCTCTGCCCGCCATGCCGTGGTCTCCCTCCGCCACCGACGAAGCTGTAAAAAGCCCTCCCATCGCCGCTCCCGTAGCCGCCGCCGCCGCCGCTCCTCCGCCTGCGCCCGCTGCCCTAACTCCAGCACCACCGCCCCCGGTCACTAGAAAGCTAACTAGCCCCTTTTCCTGGTTATCCAGGAGTTCGTCAAAGGAGGTAAACAACCCGCCTCCACCAGCACCCGTCGCTACTGGTACAAGAAGGAATACCGCCAGCTCCGTCGCGACTCTTTCCAGCAATCCCGAGGGAACATTAGGCAAGGTCGACGAGGAGGGTGGCAACAAGAACACTCTGAAGGATCGCTTTAAGCAGTTGCGCCTAAGGGAGGAGGGCAGTGCGCCCACGGGAGACGATGATGAGAAGAGCTCTGCATCTGAAGAAAAGGAAGCAATCCAGCCCCCTCCATCGCCGCTTCCACCCACCCCCAATCCGGCTCTTGCCCCCGGTACGGCATCTGGAGTTACCGCTGGCCCCTCAGCTGGCTCCGATTCTCCTGTGGATTGGGATCTGTGGCAGACGGTCGTTTACGAAGGCCCCGCAGCCGTTGCTCGGACAAGCCCTGAGCAATTGAAGGAGGCCATCGCAAAGGGTATCCCTAGTGCTATTCGCGGGGTCATCTGGCAGGTTCTGGCACAAAGCAAGAATGAGGAACTGGAAACAGTCTACCGGGACTTGGTTGCGAGGGGTACAGACAAGGAAAGAAAAAGTGACAGGCAGAGCAATGCCTCAATATCACTAAGTAACGGTAAGGCGAGCGGCAAGGATACGCCCTCATCCGCTTCGTCAGTTCACTCGGAAAAGTCTGGACCTAACGGAACCGGTGCTCCTTCGCCAACAGAGAAAGACTCGGAAGCCTTCGTCAAGGCCCAGGCTCTCGCTGCGGCAGAGCGCAAGAAGAAGGAGAAGGAAGACAAGGAAATGCTATCGAGGCTCGAAAAGGTCATTAGGAGGGATCTGGGTGCTCGAACGAGCTACTCCAAATTTGCCGCCGCTCAAGGGCTTCAGGAGGGCCTCTTCGGCGTGTGCAAGGCCTATGCTCTCTTTGACGAAGGCGTTGGCTATGCTCAGGGCATGAACTTTCTCGTCATGCCTCTTCTCTTCAACATGCCCGAGGAAGAAGCCTTCTGCCTGCTGGTACGACTAATGAACCAGTACCACCTTCGCGAGCTCTTCATCCAGGACATGCCCGGTCTGCACAAGTGCCTCTACCAGTTCGAGCGCCTTCTCGAAGACCTTGAGCCCGCTCTCTACTGCCACCTCCACCGGCGTGGCATCTCCCCTCATCTCTACGCTACGCAGTGGTTCCTCACCCTGTTCGCCTACCGGTTTCCCCTGCAGCTCGTCCTGCGCATCTACGACCTGATCTTCTCCGAGGGTCTCTCAGCCATCATCAAGTTCGGCATCGTGCTCATGCAAAAGAACGCGACCGCCCTGCTCGGCATGTCCGACATGTCGCAGCTCACCACTTTCTTGAAAGATCGTCTCTTCGACGTCTACATCGACGCCACGCCCTCGTCCAACTCGATTCTCGAGAACGGCTTCTTCGGCTCCAGTTCCGCCAGCATCGACAAGGAGGTCTACCGCGCCGACCAGCTCGTCCGCGACGCCTGCGACGTCAAGATCACAGCCGAGCTGCTCAAGGAGTACGGCAAAGAGTGGGAAGAGAAGACCAAAGCTGAGAAGGAACGCGAGCAGGAACTCGAGGGTCTCAAGCAGGCCAACACCAACTACGCCGTCATGGTGCGTCGGCTGGAAGAGCGCATCGAGGCGGTGGACCGCGAGCAGGCCTCGCTGGCGACAGAGCTGGTGCGCACCAAGGTCGAGAACGAAGAGCTGAAAGATGAGAACGAGTCTCTGAAGGGCCAGGTGAAGGAACTCAGAGTGGTAATAGAACATCAGCCCGCGGAGCTGGAGAATAAGTGGAATCTCGAAAGGGACGATCTCATGAAGAGGAACGAGAAGGTTCATGAGGAGAACCAGAAGCTCGAGAAGGAGCTGGCGGATCTGGAGGAGCAGCTGGTGCAAACCAAGTTGCAGTATGCTGAGGTAAGTTTTGATACACCCACAGGAGATGATGGAAGGAAAAATAAAAAGGGGAACAATGAAAAGAATGCTAACTCACGTCGGGAGCAGATCAACTCGGCTCATGAAACGCTTTCTAGGAAGTGGGCGGATCTCAAGAGGCAGGTGCAGGCTGCTTGATTACCTCCGGGGGAGGGTTGAGGTCTTGATCAAGAGGCAGTATGTGTGGTAGGTATGTGTGGTATGTGCGTATGTGTGTGTGGTATGGGGTATGGAGCATGGAATATGGCGTCTAATAGTAAGTAGTAGTTGGACAATTAGTCTTGTTGTTGTCGTCGTCGTCGTCGTCGGCCGAGAGACAGAAAGAAGTAGACGAAGAAGGGAAGTGTTGGCGAAACTCCCAAAAAGAACAGAACCATTACTTGGCTTTGCGTTGCTTTGCGTTGCGTTGCGTTGCGTTGCGATGCTTTACTTCATGAATTCTTGTCGTTTTACATGTTGGTGCATGGCATGGAAAGATATATGTTTGTCGTCAGGCGTTCATTGTCAGTCAGGTTCCATACCTACTGTTGTTGTTGCTCTTCTTTTAGTCCTTGCTTGTTCTGTTCTGTTCTGTTCTGTTGGCGAATCGAACATCGTGGCGTTTCGTTTTTTTGCTTGGGAGGAGGAGAAGACAGGAGAGGACAGGAGAAGACAGGAGAGGACAGGAGAAGACAGGAGTCGCTATTGAGGATTACTACTAGGACTGGTATCACATATAGTCTAGAACACACACACACACAGAGAGAGAGAGAGAGAGAGGACACAGAATGAGGGAAAGGAAGAAGGCATGAGGAGGCCCGAGAGAGCATATGAGGATAAAGCACAAAAGCATAATATACAATACAACGAACGACGTCCCCAAAAGAGAAAAAAAAAAAAAAAAATAGTATCAAGAGAGAAAGGATTTCCCGACCCGGACTATGTTGTGGCTGTAGGTGATGTGCTGTAGTATAACTATAACTAATTGATTCTCTCTTGACGTTGACATTGGTGTGAATGATGTTGTTCCGCCAGTAGTATTTCACCTTCGACTTCGACTTGTCTTCTCAGTAGTAGGCCAACCAGTAAATGTGACGGGTTGAGTGGTTTGAGGAAGGAACTTAGCTGAAAAGACAGATTATGTAGATTAGATACCTACTTCAAGTTATACGCAACTACCAATACAGAACTCAATCGGAAGAATAAACTTGATGGCTACCTACCAATTACATACCTAAGTACAGGTAGGTAAGTAGGTAGGTAGTGTAACCAAAAGGACATGACATGACACGAGACAGGATAGGTATCCAGGGGCACATATGAAGTTCGTTATGGTACCAAGTTCATGGGTACCTAAGGTACTCTGAAGTTCATGTTCCCCATCTTGGATGATTATGGTAAGCTATCCAACCGACCTTAGCGTAAGCTGAAGAAGGTGAGCATATCCAGAACGGAAAGAGAAAAAAAAGTTTTAAAAAATGAAAGGGAGAGAACCGAACGGAAACCCAGCCAGCCAGTCCACTCACTCTGCAGGACCGGGGACCTGGGGACTACGAACTGACTGGGACTTTACTTTCCTATCCCTATTTCTAGTCCTACATATCGTGGAGTGTTAAGTATCTGCCATGAGGCATGAGGCATGTACATACAAGTACAAGTACAAGTATAAGTATATCTTCCAATTGTTGTGTCTATCTACATTCCACACCCAACCCTATTAGGTAAGGTAGGTAGTTTCCCTTTTTTTTCTTTTCTTTCTCTCCTGTCGTGTCGACCACCATAAATCAGACTTTCAGACTATTATCCAAGCCCAAGCCCAGGTCCAGGTCCAGGTCCAGACTACTACCATGATATCCAGTCCAAACCAAAAAAAAAAAAAAAAAGAAAGAGATGATGTTGTCTTTTTTGTGTGTGTCTCTTTTTTGGTATCTTTTGTCTTGAATATATCTTGTGCCTTTTACCTTCCTTGTGTTTCAACATGCATTTTGAGCATTTTGTTTGTCCTCCTTCTATACAAAAAGAGTTACTTAACGTACTTAAGAACTTGCCCCCTTACCCTAATTCATGAACTTCAATACAGGTAATTCCCAAGTAAGTCCAGTCATTCAGTGATTCAGTGATTAGGTAGGTACCTAGGTGACATGTAAAAGAAGAAAACCACGGCTGGGGACGAACGTGGGCTTAGGTGAATAGTAATCAAAAAGACTTTGCAAAGACCAAAGACCAAAGACCAAAGACCCAAATAAATACCTACCACGACGAAGCATAGGAGAAAGCAGATATCGATCGGGCAGATAGCAGGCGGAGAAGAGATTGGACTTTACAAACAGAGCTAGATAGGTCGATAGGTAGGGTAGATAGGTAGTAAGCGGAAATTACCTTGTGGTAGGCCCCAGGACCCAGGAACTAACTGTCTTCCTAAATGTGAAGAGCAAAAGGTATCATCATCATACTGTACATACGTACGTACTTCTACACACCCATATGTTCACATTGTTGTAAGTTCGGGGACAAAAACGTAGATTCATGTAGTTAATGGTTGCATACCTACTAAATACTATCTGTGATAGCTTGGAAATGTTAACGTGTTGTTGGTTGATATGTGGATATGTGGAATCATCATGTTGATGGTTGAAGAACAATGACCAGTGAGAGACAGACCTAGGTAGGTGACTGCGAAGGTAAGTAACATAGGTAGGCCGTGGACATCAAGTTAGCATAGCTAGACAAGGCAAATCGAGTGTTTTTAAGTCCGGAGCCGATTCTAGAAAGACAAGGCGGAGGGGCGGAGGGAGTGTTAGAATCATCAAGGACATTATCCAATGATCACAGGTATGAAAATGATATCGAACATTTGCTGCTGTAGAAATCCCCTTCAGTTCCAACTCCATCGGCTCTGATGCAAAATAGCTGAGAATCCATGTCATCCTTGAACTCCCCAAAACATAAAAATCCCACGTCACATAAAACGGCAATTTTCAAGAACAGTGAAGTGAATGTTTGGATTGACTCGGGTGGCTGTGAAATTGTCATGGTATCTCTCATTATCCCGTTGCCCTATAAACCCCGTTCCATGCCTTTTACCGCGAAAAAAACGAAGCAAGCGAAAGGGTATAAGCAGTGGGCGCCGCCATCCTTTTTCAGACGACGGGGAACCACATGTTGGTCCTCGTACCGCCGCGCATGGCTTGCATGACAACAGCAGATACGACAGACTCGACAATCGGGCGGACAGCCGACGCGAGCCTTGACCCATCAATCCATCTTCCTCCCTGATCCTCCTGGCACAGCAACCATCTCCCGGCAGGGGCGAGACGTTTACTTGTGGAGCTTGCGCTGGTAGAAAGCGAGCTCCTCACCCTCGAGGATGTAGCCGTCGCAGCGACCGGACTGGCCAGGGCGGGAAGAGATGACGGCGTAGAGGCGACCGGCCTCGAACTGCTTCTCGAGAGCGGCGTCGACCTTGCCAGAGGCGGCGAAGCGCTCAGCCTGCTTCTTCTCGACAGACTTGGACTTCTTGACCTCCTCAAGGACCTGACCCTGCTTCTGCTGGCGGCGGCGACCGAGGGCCTGGCCGTAGTGGGCCTCGTACCACTGACGGAAGGGAGCGGCGTCGACCTGGACAACGGCGGACTTGGTGAGGGTGTTGGTGCGGACAAGCTCGTTGTTGGAAGGGTGGTCTAGAAAGGTCACAATGTCAGCTTCTGAACGTGGTCTCCTGACCTGAAGGTAGAAACTTACACGCGACAGCGATCACACGAGTCTTGCGGGTGCAACCCTCGGAGGCCCAGGCGAAGTTACCGGAGTCGAGACGGAGGGCACGGTACTTGTGGTTACCACCGCGAGTGCGGACGGTGTGAATGCGCTTAGCACCGATACGGGTGTTAGCGGGCTGGCGACCCGCCTCGAAGGCTCTCTTCTTCCCTGCCGCGTTTGTCAGAATTAATTTCTTTTGTACGCGTCAAAACAGGCTCAGAACGCGAGGGATCTAGTCAAGCTCTTCATTTCTGCGAGAACATTGACCTCCCAAGCGGACCTTCGAGAATATTATCATGTATACGTACGGTAGTAACTGCAGAAAGCCAAAAGTTAGCCGGGATACAGACAGCATTTCAGGATGGAGCAGGATAAACATACGCGCGCTTAGCACCGGTGTGGGAGCGCTTGTGCCTGGAGTCTCTGGAGATACCCATTTTGCCGGTTCCTGAAGTGGTCGATGGTGGTTAGCTATGCTGCCTCTGCTGTCGATCGTTGTTCGGTCGTCGGGTTCGAGGGGTGGTTGTGGATTGCGAAAGTGGCACGCCAGCGTGCTCCAAATGCGAAACTACTAACTTTCTCCTCGTCGGGCGGCCTGTGGGAATGGGGATTGGCAAAAAAAGCGAATGTACTCACCTCGTCGTGGATCGTTGACGGTGCGGTTGCGAGGTTGTGATGGCGGTGCTGGCGGCGGTCACAATCGATTTTGGAAAATGTGGGTGTGGAAATTTCGCGGACTTTTTCGGCCACAAGTTTCGGCGGCACCGAACGGACCCATAGCCCTAGGCGGTTTTGCATCAGGTCTCAAGTACCCTCGTACCTCTGCACGAGCCATTGTGCCAAGAAATTTACGTTGTGAACCAAAGTGGGGTTCCTCTTCGCCTTGCAGTGTCAGCCCGGCCCAGGCTTCCAGCTCCGAATTGCAAGTTGTCGAAGCCTTGTTGGAGACAGTGGATTATCTCCCCGCCAGCTCCAGCCTGCCCCGGCCGTCCGCGAAAGTGCCCGCTTTGGCTTATCCAGAACCTCCAAGGACGTGGGGCTTGGCGGTCGACGGCAGTAAAAGGCACATCTTACGACGACGTAATAAGCCGGTTCGAGGTGGGGCAGAGGTGATAGGATGGGCTGCAGAATTTCAGTACACGTGTAATCTCGAAACCATCACGCCAGTATATATGGAAGTTGTTCATAGTCTTATATCATCTGTATCGCCATGCCCCGAGGCTTTGGGAAGATCGGCATGCCTCGAGGCTTTGGAAAGAGCAAAGGTGTTACTACCTACTATAGAGGTCTTCCACGAATTTAAGTCGAAGCTGACGACATCTCTGTTCCTGAGCCTTGCCCCACCTCCCTTGTTATACTTTTCTACAGACAATGGGATGGATAATGTAGGTGAATCTTCACCTATCACTACCTTCTTAGGCTTTTTCATACAGCGCACACGATGATAGTAGGGTGTAAGGGCTCTCTTCAACTCTGTTGTGAAAGAAGACCGCAACGGAAACGTGATTACGCTATGGTTGGAGGTTTTGATGTCATGGACCTTTTATGGTGTCTTTGGGATGTAAAGTACCGTAACAATATTTGAACAATTGTACGGCGCAGCAATTCAAGTGGAAGCTCGCCATGGAAGCTTTGTCCCCTGCGCACTACCTTAGAGACCTTGTCCCGATAACTGGAAGAGCAGAAGAGAAAGACCAACAGTTACCGCCATGTTCCAAAGTCTTTGCTTAGGCCAACACGAGCACTTGGAACTGGTCTACTGTAACGACTTGGCTGAAATAATGATACAGTTTAAGAAGACTTTGGTCGTGGTGACTTTGCATTCATTCCATTGTTACATACCTACCGTAACAAGCGGCGCCAAACGTGACAGTACCATACGGTTGTGACGGGCTTCAATGCAAACTGCGGCGCCAACCCCAACGACCTGCCAGCCCATCACCCATGTCACCCAGGGAAACTTCCCGACATGGACTTCGCTGAGGTGACTGCACTCCCGTCACCGAATGGAGCTTTGCAACTGCCAACCCGACCTCCGTCAACACCGCCTGCTCCAACCATCCACCTTCCAACGATCACGATTTAGAGCTCTCCCATCGTTCGCTCTTTCTGCGTGGACGTTGCGAAAAACCAAAAGTTGGATCATCTTTGCTGCAGGACCTCAGCCACGACAACAACCTGAAGCAAACGACGGACTGCATTCCACTTCTGTTGCTGATTGCCCTCAGCTGCAAGTGCAAGTGGGACGTGCTCAGCTTCTTTCCACTTTTGAAAGCGGCTGCCGCTCTCCCAAAGAGTCCCAACTTCCATCCATCTCGCCCCGCACCCGCCCGCAGGCCTGCCAGTGCCTTCCAACCATTTCTCAGGACAGTTCGGGTTGAGCTCCTGTCGTCTCTTGCAACAACACACGAATAACAACTTAACAAGAAACTTGCACAAAACAACCCACTCGCTTGCCCAACCGACCAACGCATCACGACGACGACGGCTGTTTAATAACCCCGCCAACATCCGTATCTCACACATCTCCGGCATCGCGCGGCCTCTGGAAGATTTGAGCACCAAAGGACGACCTGCACTCGTCTTTTAGAGTTCTCCAACCAGGTACGTAATCGTGCCCATCAAGGATTCACGGTCCAACCGTATCCATCTTTACCTACTTGCTCGGCCTCTCTCACTCAGTCTACCACCACCATCACTACCACCACGACGACGACGACGACGACGAAACCCCACTTCCCGCTTCTTGCTTCGTTCTTCCAACTGCCCACGTCGTCACTGACATCCATCTCCAACCCAGTTGTCGCTCGTTACCCGAATCCATTTTCTATTCGATATCTGGCTGCCGCTGCCTGCCTCGCTTTCACCCCGGAAGCTGCCGTCCATCAACGGGGACGTGTTGTGTAGTGGAGGGGGAGATTTCACCTTTCGTTTAGCCTAGTGGCCCGGCCGCATCACAGCCATGGGGAAGATTACCAAGCCCATGCAACCAAAACACAGGGAGACTCTGGTAAATGGCCGCCCATTTCCATCATCCTTTATCCCGTCTGTCTGCTAACTATTCTGTTCCAGTCTCCTTGGCTGAAAGGGTTTGTTGAGACAGCCTCAAGTGCTCCTCTGCCCCTCATCCCGCAACGACTCGACGAGTTCCCACGAAGGTGGCAGTTCCCGCGCGGCGACCTATACCACTGGATCCCACTCCTCAACCGTTTCGACAACATTCTAGAATCAATATGTACAGCCTACGGGCTAGCCAAGGGCCACCAGACACGCAACTTTGAAAGTGATGTCCTGCTCAACAAGGGCACGCCCTCACTCGAATACTGCGACGAGCCTTGGAGCCCCGAGCGTCTGGCTGAGGCCGGGTACAAGGAGGATGGAGATTGCCGGCTTCTTGTTGCTGTACTCAAGTTCACCCGTATGCTGCTCGAGCACTGCGGCAACAGGAGCATCTATGCGAGCAGCCACCACATCGACCGCCTTATCAACAGCCCGTATCTTGAGGTTCAACAGGCCGGTCTGGAGGTAGGATTGGAGCTGGCCCAGAGGTATAATGCGTCCGTCAAGCGCATGCCTTCGCCTCCACGTTCGGTGAACCCAGCCTTGTTGGCCAACCACTACAACATAAACCTCGAAAAGGTGCAACTGCTTGCACGCCCATTCATCAGGACGCCCCTCGCCAAGTCCCTAGAGTCATCCTCAGCTGCTCCGGTCGCTTCAGCTGGCTCGAACGCCAAGGGTAAGGACAAGGAAAAGGAAAAGGAAAAGGCTAATGGCCCCAAGAATGTTGCGTCCATGTATGCCAACGACCTCAAAGCCCTTGCTTTGAGCCAACCCGACCAAGAGGACTCGTGGAAGAGCTGGGGTGATCTCAAGATTTCGTATTATCCCGACACAAGCAATGTCGAGTCTAACGCCCGGGATTCCAAGGAGGCTCAACCTGTGGAGCCTCGCGCCAGCTCATCGCCTGCTGCCCCAACGCCGCTCCGTCGTAGCTCAACTACCGTGCCCCAATCATCCCGTTCTCAACGTGTCGGAAGTTCGGAAGAAGTCTCGCCCCTTAAGCCCTCGGGAGCAGCTACGGATGACCGCGATGGGCCCAAGGTGGTGGAAATCCCACAGTCCGTCATCGCGTCCAAAACCATATACGAGCTGTATGAGATGTGTCCCGCCGACATGTCACCTCCCATGAAATTCGAGTTTACCAGCCGCTTGAGGATATGCAAGGCGTTAATGGGAACCGAGAGAGAGCGTCAGCTGGCCTTGTCCATTCGCCTGCTGGCCATTACCAACCTTGCCTACATTCTACCCGAGGCCCTCTTCATCGACAAAGTCCTCAAGTACGACAAGGACGAACCCAGGAAATTTCAGCTTGTGTATCAGCTGGCCGAGCTTATCGCCCCTTCTCCGGACGGAAACCCTAGCGAGGTCCCGAAATGGCTCCAGAGCATCACGCTGGCTCTGCTTGAGGCCATCTCCCACCAACAAGAAAAGCATTCGGATGTCCTAGCGGCTTTAAACGTAAACGTTAACCATGGCATTCTTCTCTACGTCATCAGAATAGCCGTGGCGGACATGAAACGGGACGCCCCTGTTGATGACCAAGACGAGCTGGATGCAGATGCTTGGCGAAGCAACCTGTTCCAGTTGACACTTCAGATAGCTATGGCTACGCGTATCGGCCAGGAGATGATGACTGCCGGTCTTATGGACTGTCTCGTCGAAATCCTTAACCTTCGGACGGCCGTTGCCAGTCGCAATTATAGCATGGTACTCGCCTTTCTGGACAGTCTGACTTATGCGTATCAGACTGCCTTCTCACAGCTGAACAGTGCCGGCGGTCTGGACGCCATCACGAACCTCATCGTACATACCGTTCGGGAGTCCAAGATTCTCACGGAGGCTGGTCTTGGAACAAAACCCGAAACTTCACGCTTCCCTTGTGGATTATAGCATTCCCTTCTACCATCAACAGACGCTCAAGTGGCTCCTCAAATTCATCCACCATGTCATGGCCAATACGTACTCCTTCGATGGTACCAATACAGAGCGCCTGTTGAGGAACCTGGTCGACAACTCGTCTTTGCTCAGCAGCCTCTGCACGATTGCGCGCCAGAACCGGTTCTTCGGCACGGTTGTATGGTCAAATGCCACAACTCTCTTGAGCGATTTCATCAATAACGACCCCACGAGCTTTGCAGCTATCTCGGAGTCTGGGTGGATCCAGGCCTTTCTTGCGTCTGTTACGAATCGGCCGGTGCCCATGCCCGTTGAGAAACCGTCGCCGGAACCTCACCAACCCAGAGCAAATGATGGCGGTGATGGCAATGAAGCCAATGACGATAGTGACGATGACGCCAATGCGGATGAGGCCGCTCCCGCCTCAGACGGTCAAACCGCGGCTCAAACACATCCACCAACTCAAGAAATGCTCGAAGCCCCTCGCGACTTCCCCCCCGCTCACGGCATCCTACCGTCCTCTGAATCCATGAACATCATTCCCACGGTGTTGAACTCGATTTCACTCAATAACCGCGGCATGAAGATGGTTCTCTCATCCGGCGCCATCCAGAGTTACATGGAGATCTTCGAAAGCGCTACTCATGTGCAGTGCATGGCCCACGATCCTGAACTTGCTAGTACTATTGGTAGTAGTCTTGACGAACTCTCCCGCCATCACCCCGCGTTACGGCCTGCCATCGCCAATGCTATCATCGACATGATTGCGAGGGTCACGCACCTGGTCAAGACCATGGATGCCAAGAAAGCATGCGGCGCGAGGCTTGAGGCATCTGAGCCGTCTGCTGGCCCGGCTGCTGAATCATCGAAGGCTACTGAGTTGAAGGGTAAAGGCAAAGACAAGGCCACAGACGATGTGGACGTGGAAACGGCGGAAGCGAGCTCTTCATCAGCTGGTAATGATAAGCCCGCACAAGCCCCATCGGTCCCTTATGTTCAAGTCCTTTCTACCTTCCTCCAGCCGATCATCAGCAACTCTCATCTCAAGGGAGCTCTGATCTCTGCTGGTGGGATTGAAATCCTCTTGGATCTTGCACAATCTCCCAGCCTTCCCTACGACTTTGCCGAGACACCGGCCTGCCGCATGCTAGTCGCGGCCATCTCGCAGCTCATTGAGTCTGCTCAGATTATCGGGCTAGCTTCGTTACTATTCAGGATGGAGAACACTATCAAGGTCCTACAGCCGCGGGTCAATCCCACAACTACGGAGCCTTTCTTTGCACCGTTCCTCAGTTCGGATTCATCTGTGTCTCTCGGGCAAGAGGATGAATCAGCCGACAAGAAGCTCACTCCGGATGTTTCGAGCGGAACAGAGACGGTGAAGGCTCTGCTCAGCATACAGATCTTGATCAAGATTCTATACCACTGTTTCCCGTTCTCCAACCGGAGCCAGATGGTCAGCATGCCAGCTGTCAACGTGTACGACTATTACATTCGTCTGATTCGAAGCCTTGGACCGTTGTTGCGTGGCGTGTTGAAGGAAGAGGCAGCGGTCAATGGTGCCGTTCCACACCACTGGACACAGAAGAACAAGCCGTACCAAACCAATGCCTTGGGCTCTCGCGCTGATGTGCAGGATCTACTGACCGATTCGGCGGCTCAAGATGCTTCCGCAAACGGTAAGAAATTGACGCCTGAAGAGCAGTCGACTGCTGAATACAAGAACTACCAGACCCTACGGGTCCTTCTTCATTCCTTTATGCCTTCCATCTTCCCGTTCTTCCAGACTATCGGCAAGGCCCTGTTGCCTAGGCGCAACAACAACGACCCGTTCATCCGTTCTCGACACCTGGCAATTGCAGAGGCGTCCGCGGAAACCTTGATTCAGCAACTGCAGCAGTCAAAGGAAGAGTTGACGGTCAGAGACATCCATAACTGGATCATCATGATCCACACGTTTGGCGAAATGGTTGTTGATACGAATCACCGTACTGCCAGCGGAGGCGCTTTTCTTATCCTCCCCGTGATCACTGCCTTTAAGGAGCTCGGGGGTTTTGAGGCACTGAACGTCATTCTCAAGCGGTTGGCCGACATGGTGTCGGCTGGGGCCACCGATGGTCAAGAAGCCACGAAGGCCAAACTTTCAATGATTGGCATGAAGAAAGTACTCGACATCTACGGTTTCATCGTTAGTGGCAAAAACCTCTCAGATTCTATGGCCCAGATTGCTTTGGCACCCAAGCCAACGGAACGAGTCAACCAGGAGTTTTCGCACCAACTTGTTGTTGAGTTGCGAATGTTGATCCTTCCTATTGTTCAAGATATCTGGGCTTCCAAGATCATCGAAAAGTCAACAAGCCCGATAGTGAGCAAGATTATTGACCTTATCAAGACCATCGCGGTCGGCGACCTGGAGTCAAATGCCCAATCAAGATCTGATAAAGAATCATTACCGTATCTTTTCAAGAATCGCGAGTCCGTTCCCTTCAAATGGATCTCGCGCAAGGACGCAGAGGCACTCGCAACTGAGCAGGGCGTAGACGTTGATCTAGCGTTGGAGGCACTTTATCGTGCTAATGGTAAAGAGAGTGACACCAAGGAGTACATCAAGTACCAGAAGGCACACCTAGTTCGGAACCGCAACCCTGTGCCGGCTGAGGACGCTTTCAAGGAGGCGCCATCTCCCAACCTGTCGCCGTCGGCAGGGATGTCTCTCAGCAACCTGTTGAACACTCCTACTTTCCCGGTGGGCGATTTGCTCGGCTCAGAACCTATGGCGTTGGATCCGGTGCCTAACCAGCCCCTCGGAGAACCTAGTGGTGAAGCAGCCCTCGGTGATGTTACTGAGCCCTCCTCTGACGACTCTGATGAAGGCCAGCCTGGCACTAGCGGTGAAGCCGATGTTGGCGTCTCTACGGCGACACCACAACAACTGCCTGTACTTCCGTCACAGCAACCAGCCACTGAATCACAAACTGACGCTCCCCGTATCACCAGGGAAGATCTGGCTGAAGAGAGGGCAAAGCTCTACGATACCCTGATCGATCGTTGTCTTGAAGTCATTAGCTCTCATCCCGAGGCCGTCTTTGAGGTTGCGGATCTCATCCAAAATACCATCCTGAAAACCGACAATGAAGATAGGAGAGTGGAAGTTGGCGAGATCTTGGCTAATGCGCTCATGTCATTTGCCACTGATGACGCAGAGGTGTTGAAGGAGAATGGCAGTAGCATTGCCGCTTACGCCCATCTTTTGGCGCTTCTTCTTCAACATACTGCATTCATGAAGACTACCGTGGACATGTTGAGAGACTCTGTGGGCGGTTATCTCGGCTTCCTGAAGCTGCCGCCGGCAAGCTCCAATGACAACCTTCCTCCGTGGATTCCCTATATTCTCCTGATATTCGAGATGATGCTGTTCCAAGACGCCCAGCCTCCCGAGATCAAATGGAAGCAGCCTTTGAAAGAGGATGACCCGGTTGAGGAGCCGGTCATTGCGGTGAAGGAGCCCAACTTCTCGGCCGAACACCGCTCGTCTCTCTTGACCACTCTCCTGGATTTTCTCCCTCGCGTAGGCAAGGAAGAGTCATTGGCTGTTTCGGTGTTGAGAATCCTCGTCGTCCTGACCAGGGATCACGCGGTAGCCAAGATTGTTGGGGAGAAGAAGAATTTGCAACGGCTGTTTGTCATGGCAAAGCAGCTGTGTGGTGCCGGTTCTACTCGTCTCAAGCAGACTCATATCTCGGAACACATCCGACAGATCCTTCGACACATCATCGAAGACGAAGAGACCCTTCGGCAGATTTTTGAGACTGACATGAGACACCTCATGACTTCAAGGCATAGGCCTAGCACAGCCCCGGGCCTTGAAGCACAGGCGTACTTGCGCACCCAAGCGCATTTGGCTCTTCGGTCGCCCAAGACCTTTGTCGAGGTCAGCACGGAGCTGCTCAAGCTGAACCGGGGTGTTTCGCACCTGGGTGACGGAACGCTGCGCTCCGCGCCATTCCTGGTTCTCAAGGAGCGCCCTGCAGATGCTAGTGTCTCGCCCAAGGAGAGCTCAGTCGAACCTACAGTGCAAGCGACAGAAGATCTCACCATCAGTGACGTCAAGCCTTCAACCGAGGTGACGGACAAGGATATGTCCGATGCCCCCAAGGCCCCCGCCCAAGACCTCAAGCGGCCGATTCTCGAACATCCCGATGGTGTTGTTCACTTCTTGTTGACCGAGCTGCTCAACTACAAAGAGGTTGACGAGAGGGAGAACGTTCCTGCGCCTCCCGCAGCTGCCTCTAAGCCGGAGTCTGATTCTACTCCTGCTAATGAGGCTACTCCTTCTCCTTCCGGGGACGAGCAGAATTCGGAGTCGAAGGAGAAGGAGAAGAAACCGGCAAAGGCCCCTTTCAAGGCCGAGGATCATCCCATCTTCATCTATCGGTGCTTCTTGCTTGATTGTCTTGCAGAGCTATTACAGAGCTACAATCGTGCCAAGGTTGAGTTCATTAACTTCAAGCGCTCAGCTCCCATTCAGGCGAACGCCCCGGTCAAGCCTCGCTCCAGTGTGCTAAACTATCTTCTCAACGACATTCTTTGCTTCAGCCCTGCAAGCGGAGTGCCGGATTCGATAGCCATGAGAAAAAAGGCGGCAACGGCGGTGCCAGCCCGCGCTGTTCTGGTTGCCCTTGTTTCTAGGACCGGCGAAAAGCCTCAGAGCCGTACCCATGAACCGTTTGAGTATGATGATGAGCCGGACTTGCTCTTTATCCGCCGGTTTGTCCTGGATACCATCCTTCGCGCCTACAAGGATGCTTCTGTGTCCGCGGAGCCGTTTGATATTCGATACGGAAAGATGAACGCTCTCGCGGAGTTGATGGCCCAGATGATTGGCGAAGGAGACAAAGAGTCGCGTCCCAACAACCCGCGCGGTACAGATCCGTCAATCGGACGGTCTCAAGCTCAGCTGAAGCGTCTCATGTATGAGAAGGGCTACCTCACGTCCTTGGCTGCGTCCATCGCCGATATTGACCTCACATTCCCACACAACAAGGCTCCACTCAAGCCCATCCTTGCGGTCATCAAACGCTCACAAAGACTGCAGTCTCTATGAGTCAATTAGGTCTCATCCCTCCTTCAGGTACAGCTGGTACCGATCAAGCCGAGGACGAGTTCCTGACCGACGGGTCGTCCGTCTCTGATGACCTCTCAGACGATCGCGAGGAGACGCCTGATCTTTATCGCAACTCCACATTGGGCATGCTTGAACCCGGACGGGATGACGAGTTCTCCGACGAAGATGAGGATGATGATGAAGACATGTACGACGATGAGCAGTACGACGACGAGCTCGACTATGGCGACGACATGTCACAGGACAATGAAGACAACCCTAGCGATGATGAAGACGAGCTCGGCGAGATGGGCGAAATGGGAGGAATGCCCGGTCAACCTGGCTTGTCGAGGTCATTATGGGTGAGAACGATGACGAAGAGGACAATGAGGACATGGATGACATGGATGAAGACGACGACATGGACGAAGATGATGAGCAGGAGCTTAGTGATGAGGATGAGGACGACGAAGTCGGCTCCGAAGACATGGATGACATGGAAGATGACATCCACATTGTCGATGAAGAGGGCAATGCCATTGATGACGACGGTGCGTCGTGGGATGATGGCACCGACGAGGATGAGGAGGACGAGGAAGAGCTCGACTACGAAGCTGAGGCTCAGAATATGCAGGAGGCTCAGCTTCACAATCGTCGGACTTTCCCCGAGATCATGCGAGCTGCCATGGAGAATGCTGGCGATGATCTTGATGCCGAGCCGATTCGCGACTTTGACGGGCACTACATCGACGATGATGAAGATGGTGAAGAAGACGGTGAGTAACCCAGATGCATGAGAAGACTGAACGAGATGGCTAACTCAAACAGATGATGAAGATGAAGGCGAAGACGATATGGATGATGACATGTACTTTGACGGCGATGGTCTTCGTAAGTTCCGGTACGATATCCTTTACCAGATTTGGCAGCTGACATAATAAGCAGACGATGACTTGCTTGCGCCCAACATGCCATCGGGGCTTGGTTGGGACATCGCAATCGAACCCAACCATCGACACCGGCCGTCCCGGAGCCCTTGGCCCAACAGTCCTTTCGTGGTTGGAAGACATCGTGACGCGCTTGGTAAGTTCTCAAGGCCGAGGATATAGTCTGCTTGTTCATAGTACTAACAGTCTTTCAGACTTCCAAAACTTCTTCCGCCGCCCTGCGCATCTCAGCAGACATCTGCCCCCCCCGGCCGACGTCATGTCTGGAACAAATCCGCTCTTGCTTCCCCAGGCTCGTCGGGAGGTTCCTCGCAATGCTCACAGTCAGCTGGTTCGTCTAGGGATCACTCCGAACATGATTGGAGGCCTAGGCATGGGCATGGGTGTTGAACCGTTGGCGTTTATCAGCGACCTTGTCCAACACTTACCCGACGTGCGTCTCAGCGCTGCAGGAGGACCCTTGGCCTTGCATTTCACAGCAGACGGACCAGGTGGAATCATCCGCGAACTCAACGCCATACCAATTCCTCCCCCGCACGCCCGCGAGTCTCGCTCCACTGAAGCTCGGCGCGATACCTATCAGGAACCTCACCAAGCCGTCCAATTTTCTCCAGAATCTACACATGAGAGATGGCAACAAGAAGTCAAGATGATCTTTGGCTTTGGCCACCAGGACAAGGCTCAGAAGCTTGCGCCTCTCATCATTTCCAAGCTTACTCCGGCAGCAATTCAAGCTGAGAAGGAGGAGAAGGCTCGTAAAGCGGAGGCAGATCGTAAAGCAGAGGAAGAGCGGAAGAAGCGCCAGGAGGAAGAGCGCAAGAAGAGAGAGGCTAAGGAAGCGGAAGAGAAGGCTGCGCGTGAGAAGAAGGAAGCAGAGGAGCGTGAGCGCCTTGAGCGCGAACGAGCTGAAGCTGCTGCACAAGCTGCTGCGCAGGCCGCCGCTGATCAGGAGGCAAATGCTGCGGCTCAAGAGGCGACCTCTATGGAAGGCGTTGAGACTCAAGCCGCGGGCGAAAATGCCGAGCAGCAGGCCGAGGATGAACGCCCTCGTGTCTATTACACTCTCCGTAACCAGCAGGTTGATATCACCGAGCTGGGTATCGACGCCGAGTACCTTGAAGCGCTTCCTGAAGAGTTCAGGGACGAGGTGATCGCCCAGGCGATCAGCACCCGCAGATCCCAGGCGCGAGAGCAGGTTCAACAAGAGGGCGAAAACACTGAGGTCTTCCAAGAGTTCCTTGAAGCACTCCCGGAGGAGCTTCGTAACGAGATTCTCCACCAGGAGCAGCACGAACAGAGGCGTCGGGAACGACAAGCTGCAGCAGGAGGCCAAGACCTTGGTCCGGCTGACATGGATCCCGCAAGTATCCTGTTGACTTTCCCCCCTGGTCTCCGCCAGCAAGTCCTACTCGACCAGGGTGAAGACATCATGGAGCACCTTGGCCCAGAGTTGGCCGCAGAAGCCCGCACTCTTGTGGCGCGTCATCGTCAACTCCACGCCGCCCAAGGTGGTCAACCGGCTCCTCGTCCTCGAGACACTCAGCGCCCTGCCGAGGCAGGTGCTGGAGCTGTCCAAAAGGTCCAGAGGCGCACTGTGGTGCAGATGTTGGACAAGCAGGGCATTGCTACCCTCCTCCGCTTGATGTTTGTCTCTCAGCAAGGCTCAATTCGCTCCAGTCTCTTCAACATTTTCGCCAATCTGTGCGAAAACCGCCAGAACCGACTCGATGTCATATCCTCTTTGCTACAGGTTCTCCAAGATGGATGCACGAACATGGATGCCATTGAGCGTAGCTTTGCCCAGATCTCTTACAAGGCCAAGCAACCAAAGGAGAAGGACGCCAAGACGCCTCACCCCTTGAAGCGAACCCTCACAGGCGGCACTAGCAACAACAACAACAACAACAACAACACCAACGCTCAGTTCCCCGCTAGCTCGGAGGTGTCGCCGCTGTTGATTGTTCAGCAATGTCTTGACCTTTTGGTGGAGCTTACCAAGCTCAACGCCCACGTACCATCTGTGTTCTTGACTGAGCATGAGACAGTGGCATCCACCCTCAAGCGAAGCCTGAGCCGCAAGGGCAAGGGTAAGGATGTCACTGGCAAGGCTCCCAAGTTTGCCATCAACTCTCTCTTGACTCTTCTGGACCGCAACCTCGTCATGGAGAGCTCTGCAGTCATGCAGGTACTAGCTGATCTCCTCAACAAGATTACCATCCCGCTTCAAGCGATTGAGCGGAGGCGCAAGGAGTTTGAGGAGGAAACGAAAAAGAAGAAGGAAGCCGAAGAAAAGGCTGCCTCTGAACGTGAAGCGGCTGCCAACGCACCCGAAGAGCAGACCTCGACCGAGCAGGCCTCTTCTGCCCAGCAGGAGGTGACCCAGCAGCCTTCTGAATCTGCTCCAGCAGCTGGTTCCAGCGAACAGCCAGCACAGCCAGATCAAGAGAACAAGGACCCAGAAGCACCCAAGGAACAGGCTGGTGAGAGTTCTCTTCAGTCCGCATCCGAGGAGAAGAAGTTCCGGACGCTCACGCCGCCGACCATCCCTGAGCACAATCTTAAGCTGGTAATTAACATTTTCGTGGCCCGTGAATGCAGCTCCAAGACATTCCAGAACACCATCTCCACGATCAAGAATCTTTCCAACATCCCTGGCGCGAAGAAGGTATTTGGAGACGAGTTGGTTCGCCAAGCTAGGGTCTTGAGCGAGAACATTCTCTCGGATCTTGACAACTTGCTTCCTCACATCTTGAAGGCTGAGTCCGGTACCCAAATTCAGGGCGTTGCCCTTGCCAAGTTCTCGCCAGGCGCATCGGAGCAAAACAAGCTCCTACGTGTTCTTACAGCGCTCGACCATCTGTTCGATAGCAAGAGCAAGAAGCAGGACAAGCCTGCCGAAGGAGAGAACACCAAGGAGGACCTCCTGGGTTCTCTCTACTGGAACCCAACTTTCGGCACGATGTGGGATAAGCTAAGCGCTTGCTTGAGCGCAATCAGGCAGCGCGACAACATGCTCAACGTGGCCACGATTCTCCTGCCGCTCATCGAGTCGTTGATGGTGGTGTGCAAGAACACGACACTTTCGGATGCTTCGGCGGTGTCGAACGTCAACTCGCAGAAGGAAATGCTTCTCACCAGCCCGCCTCCAGAGGACCGCATTGCCGGCTTGTTCTTTACTTTCACCGAGGAGCACCGTCGTATCCTCAACGAGCTCGTCCGACACAATCCCAAGCTCATGTCGGGCACCTTCTCGTTGCTGGTCAAGAATCCGAAGGTCTTGGAATTTGACAACAAGCGCAACTACTTTAACCGTAGCGTGCATTCCAAGCACCAACAGACGAGGCAGTCTTTCCCCCCATTGCAACTTCAAGTGCGCCGTGAGCACGTCTTCCATGACTCGTTCCGGTCGCTCTATTACAAGAAGGCCGAGGAGTTGAAGTTTGGAAAGTTGAACATCCGTTTCCAGGGCGAGGAAGGTGTCGATGCTGGCGGTGTCACTCGCGAGTGGTTCCAGGTGCTCTCCAGACAAATGTTCGACCCCAACTACGTCCTTTTCGTTCCGGTGTCTTCGGACCGCACCACCTTCCACCCCAACAAGTTGAGTCCTATCAACGACGAGCATTTGCCCTTCTTCAAGTTCATTGGCAGAATCATCGGCAAGGCCCTTTACGAGGGCCGTCTGCTTGACTGCTACTTCAGCCGTGCGGTCTACAAGCGCATCCTCGGCAAGCCCGTCTCGGTCAAGGATATGGAGTCGTTTGATCCGGATTACTACAAGTCCCTTGTTTGGATGCTCGAGAATGATATTACTGATATTATTACCGAGACCTTTTCGGTCGAGGACGACGTGTTCGGCGAGGTCAAGGTTGTCGATCTGATTGAGAACGGCCGCAACATCCCTGTCACCGAGGAGAACAAGCATGAGTATGTTCGTTTGATCGTCGAGCACAAGCTCATCACCTCGGTCAAGGATCAAATGAAGGCATTCCTTACTGGTAAGTTCACCTCCTCTCTGTCTTGGATAATAACACATAACTAACAAATAATCAACAGGCTTCCATGAGATCATCCCCGAAGAGCTCATCGCCATCTTCAACGAACAAGAGCTTGAACTTCTCATTTCCGGTCTGCCTGATATTGACATCGACGACTGGAAGGCGAACACCGAGTACCACAACTACTCTGCCGGTGCCCCTCAGATTCAATGGTTCTGGCGCGCTGTCCGGTCCTTCGACAAGGAGGAACTCGCCAAGCTTCTTCAGTTCGTCACGGGCACATCCAAGGTGCCTCTCAACGGCTTCAAGGAGTTGGAGGGCATGAACGGTGTCAGCAGGTTCAATATTCATCGTGACTATGGCAGCAAGGACCGTCTTCCTAGCTCTCATACTTGCTTTAACCGTGAGTTTTCCCTATCGTTCCCTGATGAATGATATGATTGACTAACTGATATTTGCAGAACTTGATCTTCCCGAGTATGAAAGCTACGAAACTCTAAGAAGCCAGCTACTCAAGGCTATTACCGCGGGTAGCGACTACTTCGGCTTCGCGTAGACGTACCACGACTTGCGCGTCCACCAAGTCAGTCTAATTTATCGAGAATTTAAACAACGATGGAAGCAGCGGAAAGGGGGAGTGATGGATGGTGAGTTTGAGAAAGGTGCATAAGCCAAAACATGAGCATCATATAGAGGAACGGTAGCAAAGGAGGCATAAATTGCCTGGAAGGAGGGAATGGTCTACGGGAGGGAGCGGAGGACTGTTTACTTATGAAGTTCATACATGGATTTAAGCGCATGGAGGTTTCGATTGGGGAGACGGAGAAGAAGGTTTTTTGTGTTTCTGTCATTGCTACTCCCATTTTTTGCTCTTGAGCAAATCAGCCTGGCATAAAAAAAAGGTTAACGAAGGAAACGGGGAGTGGTCGGCGGGAAGTGCAGGTCTCGTCTTCCTTTTTTTTTTCTGGACCTGGAGTTCTGCCTTTTGCTGGGTTGGTTGGCTTGGAGCTTTGAGCTTCTTTGCATGGATGAAGGAGGATGGGAAAATATTAGCAACACGAGATAGTGGAGGTTAGAATGATTAGCAGCGCGAAATGGAGTTTTACATCTTAAAACACAGAGGCAGTAGGTATGTCGGGAGGTCATGAAGGAATGCTAAGTCTTGATCCTTTAAGTTGAAACAGGTCGCTCGGTTGTTTTGGGCTTCATTTCTTCACATCAGCATTTAACTGTTTCCATGAAATGGAGCATACCATCACAATCACCAATTAACGCCCCAATCGCCATCATTTTGTTTCTTTGTTCATGCCAGTCCAATGACAGGAATTCAGCTTAACCACTTGAGGAAGAAAAAACCGAAAAATAAAATCTGAACAATGACCAGCAAGGCCCTATACTAGCGAAGAACTTGCCATGCCCGTGAAAGCAATCAACAAGCTAACAATTACGGCACGAGAACCGCTCGAAATAAGGGAAGCTTCACCATACTCCTCAAAACAATATGTAACTACTTTAACCTGGTTAACACTTCAGGTTCGTACACTTATCATAGTTTCTGGGGAACTACCTACCTCAAGTACCTCTACCTACTACTCAAAACATACGTAGATGCACCAAGAGTTAAACGAGTTGGGAGAGGTTATCATGCCGTTTGTTGAATTGTTGAAACGATGTTTGACTTGGGAGAAATAGGTACCGGGTACATCTACCAAGGTACGCACAATGCCCGGAATATTTGGCGTGGAACTGTCTATCTATCTATCTATCTGTCTATGGCGTTGTGGGTAATGGACATGTGTAGTTTTGTTCTTCAGGAAGACCCCCAAGTCGTCCTGAATATATCCCCAAGTATTCTACGTAAACTTTCAGGACCACCAAACACCAGGCGTAAATACCCACCGAGAGCTGAAGCAAAAGATTAGAGGCAGACAGCAAGTGGGTTTTATAGCAAGGAACTGGCATGTGATAATACAAGTTGTTTACTTCTCCTAAGTCAATTGCAACTTTTACAGGTCTACGCCGTTGACCACTTTCTCCCAAATCCAGAGAAATAAATCATACATAGCACCCAGTCAAAAGAACCGCAATATGAAGCGAGCAATTCAGACCCATTGTTGATTTTTTGAATTCTACCTCAGTTGCCTCCATTCCCCAAATATGTCAATGATCGAGTGGCGGGAGTATTTGGTATCAAAAATGGGTTCCCGTCATAATATTCCGTACAACGCGAACCCGAAGCGAAGCTGCTGAATGCTCGTTTGTGTTTTTGGTATCAACTCTCATTGAAGACTCAATTCCTGGTAGTTTGTCGTGGAGAAGTCCCCTTTTTAATGGGTGCTCATGTTACACACAACAAACGTGCCCCCCGGTCGAGTCAACAGATAAACCGCGCCATGACCGAAAATTCGTGAAAGCAACCGGATATCATCCATCACACCTGACCCCGAACGCTTACTTGCGCATGGAGGAGGCGCGACGCTTGCGGGCATCGGCCTTCTGGACCTTGGCCTCAGCGATGCGCTTGGCGAGGACCTGAGCGTACTCAGACTGTTGGGTGTTTGTTAGCATTTCTTCTGTGCTGTTTATGGGGGTTTTCCGGTAAAACTTACAGCCTCCTCCTTGACCTTCTCGGCCTGGCGGCGCTTGAGAGCGAGACGGTGTCTCTTGTGCTGGAGGCGCTGGGGAGTGACGAGGCGCTGGATCTTGGGGGCCTTGGTGTAGGCCTTCTTGCCCTCACCCTTGGGCTGGACCTCGCGGCGAATGACGTACTTGCGGACCTATTCGTCGTAGAAAGATTGAATAATTAGCCTTGTTGTTCATCTCAGACTCTACCCAACGAACTGTGCGAGGATCATCGACACAGCGCGCGGGCAGGCGATGACGAGGTTGCGTAAAGAAACACGTACATCGTCATCCTTGCTGAGGCCGAAGAAGCGGCGGATCTTGGTGGCGCGCTTGGGGCCGAGACGCTTGGGGTGGACGGTGTCGGTGAGGCCGGGGATGTCCTGCTCGCCCTGCTTGACGATGGCGAGGGCAAGGACGGAGAGATCAGAGCCGACGATGCAACCGCGGACGGACTTTCTCTTGCGCTCACCGGAGCGGCGGGCACGGTAGCAGGAGTGGCCGTCAGAGAGAAGGAGGCGGACACGGTTGGGGGCAATGACACCCTGCTTCATGGGGAAACCCTGCTTGTCGTTACCGCCGGTGATGCGGAGGATGTAGCCCTTCCACTCATCACCAAGGGGGTCGGCGGGGACCTCAGCGCCCATCTGTATCTCTGTTAGATTCGTAGTTCGGTCATCGCGTCTGGTTTCGATTTGTCGTCGATATATCGGGGACTTACGCGCTTCCTGTAATTAGTCTGTTAGCGACATGTCTTTTTGGACTTGTATGTATTGGTTGGAACTTACTCGATGAAGTGGCGGAGCTTGCGCTCATCCTCGACCTCGATCAGCTTCTGCGAGCCGTTCGCAGGGTACGAAATGTTCAGCTGTTGGTTGGACGTGGATCAGCTTCATGTCCATGTCTCCATTCCCATATTCATCAAGGTCGTCGCTGTCGTGTTCTGGCTCCTCTTCCTCGCCCAAGTCCCCATTTTCGCGACCTCCAACTGTCGAAATTCGAAACTGGACGCTCGGGCTCGTAAAAAAAAAGCGCAGAATCGCAGTCACGCCGTAGCCATGACGCCGTGGATATCGGGGAATCGTCGTACCTTCATTTTGGCGGTATTTGGGGCTGAACGACCGGAGTTGGGTGTTGCGAATTGAGACGACTCGAGAAATTCCGAAGGGGAAGATTTTGTGTGGGTGGTGACCGCTTTTGCTAAGGACAATACTGTCCAAATGTTAGGGCACAATTTCCGGGGTATTGATTGGCTGATGAGAGAGGCCTACCCGCTTTAAAATTTCCCGCTGCGCTTGGACCAGCTGCCAGCCTTGAACCTCAAGCCCAGGTCCAACGACCACCACCAAGCATTTGGAGAAGTGGGACTGTTTACGCTTTACCCGATTGGGCCATGTACTTTGATATTCTCAAAGTCACAATGACAAAGTTCACGAGCGACATCCCATGGTAGATGTGAGAGTTGAGCAAGTTGGTTGACAAGTTGAACTTACTACACGTTTCAGTGGTTTTATATACCATAGCTTTGGCGTTCTGACACAATAGCTTGTTGTCTTTCTCTCTCGGAAACCGCTTGTTCAAGACCTTCATAAATCCCCAAGAGGTACTTGGCAATTTTCACTTTGACAAATCCAACCTCACCTCACTCACACCGAGATATCTCAACTCCAAAAACGGTGTGACGAGACACTCAGCTTTTACACAACACTCCCGAGTCTTACAATACAGTTTGCGACCGGAACCACCAGTCTCAACTCTATACAACCACAAAAACCAACATGGAGGATGACCGCGCCCAAGTCGACCTCGGCATCGCCGCCGACATCGACGAGATGAACCCCCCTCCTCCGCCCTCCATCACCCAAAAACAGCCCAAGAAGCGTTTCCTCGGCCGCCAAAGCGCTGCCGCCGGAAAGACCTCCACTACTCAACCATCCCCCAACACCTCAATCGAAGACAGCGGCGCCATCCAAGTAGCCCAACCGCGCCGCGCTCCGCGCATGCTCAACCAAGTCCCCGACAGCATCCTTCACGACGCCGCTCTCAACTCCGCCATCTCCTTACTCCCCTCCAACTACTCCTTCGAGATCCACAAGACCATCCACCGCATCCGCACCTTAGGCGCCAAGCGCGTGGCCCTGCAAATGCCCGAAGGCCTGCTCCTCTTCGCCACCACCATCTCCGACATCCTTACCGAATTCTGCCCCGGCATCGAAACCCTGATCATGGGCGACGTTACCTACGGCGCGTGCTGCATCGACGATTACACCGCGCGCGCCATGGGCTGCGACCTGCTAGTGCACTACGCGCATTCCTGCCTGATACCCGTCGACGTCACGAAAATAAAGACACTTTATGTGTTTGTGGACATCAGCATCGACACCTCGCACCTCTTGGCTACCTTGGAACGCAACTTCTCCCCAGGCAAATCCATCGCCATGGTAGGCACGATCCAGTTCAACGCTACCATCCACGGCGTGCGCAGCACCCTGCAAAAAGCTGGGTACGAGGTTATAATCCCGCAGATTGCCCCCCTCAGCAAGGGTGAGATATTGGGGTGTACATCCCCCAATCTGAACCAGTTCTTGACGAAAGAGGGGAAAAAGGTGGATATGATCCTTTATCTTGGAGATGGCAGGTTTCACTTGGAAAGCATCATGATCCATAACCCTGAGATTCCGGCGTATCGGTATGATCCGTACTCGCGCAAGCTGACGCACGAGACGTACGGACATGAGGAGATGCAGGATGTGCGGCGCGGCGCGATCAGGCAAGCGAAGACGGCCAAGAAATGGGGGTTGATTTTGGGCAGTCTGGGACGGCAGGGGAATCCGAATACTCTTGGTCTGATCGAGGAGAAGTTGAGGGCGAATGGTACGCCGTTTGTCAATTTCTGCTTGTCAGAGATCTTTCCCGGAAAACTGGCGATGATGAGCGATGTCGAGTGTTGGGTGCAGGTGGCGTGTCCGAGATTGAGCATTGATTGGGGGTATGCGTTCCCGAGACCGCTGTTGACGCCGTACGAGGCACTGATTGCGCTGGGGGAGAAAGAGGATTGGGGGAGGGGCGCGTATCCGATGGATTATTATGGGAGGGAGGGGTTGGGGAGGGTGAAGCCTGCTGCTGTTGAGGCTTGATACCTAAGGTACTTGGGATAGGTTGTGTATATGTATGATGCATCTGGGATTTTGGGCGTAAGGATATACAAAACGGAGGGTTCTTTGTTTTTGGTATGCAAAATCATGTTGAAACTCGGCATGTGAAAAAACATGTTTTTAGGTGGTGATATGTATCCAACTGTTTATTGCGTGTACGTATACAGGTAGGTTGAATGAATCAACCTTGGTTTATCATAATTGTACAAAAAGCCAGCTCTTCATTTCCTTGGCGTGGCTGCGTTTATATCCATCCGTCTATCGTATCCAGTCCTTCCGGTATCCCTATCCTTACAATTGTACATGTCCTCTTTCTGTGCAATGCAATTCTATCGTTGAACAGTCGCAACCCTTCTCAAGGGTAAATACGACGAGAGACCTCCAGGTGACCTCCACCCAAAGCCTAGTTTCCTCCTAGTCATCTCGGCAGCTGCTAGGTTATCATTAGCCGTGAAGGCAGAGCTCGCATCTGACTCTCTCTGCTGCTGGTCTTCTGTGTCCTCCTCTTGCACTTGCACCAACCTTGGCTTGACAGAAACAGCAGCGGCCGGCTTCTTCTGAAACTTCTTCAAGTGTTCCTTGGTTAGAGCCATCAGATGCGGTACCGTGGCCGTCTCCCTGGCACCCTGGCGGACCTCAGCCGCCGTCTGCGCCGGCAACGCTTCCATAAGCATATCCGCCAGCTGGTCATCCAACTCCTCCTTCCAAGCAAAGCAGGCGGCGACCGCGTTGAGGGCTGTGTTGGACGTGCGCATCTCCCGATCGTATTTGAGGCGCTTCTCGAGAGACACGGGCTGCCGCCACAAAGTCAGGGGTCGTACGTCGCGCGGGACGGTAACGGCGAGGATGTTCATCATCTCCTCGGTTGTGGCCTTGATGGCTTTCTCGGTGGCTTCTACTTGCTCGGTGAGCCAGTCTAGCTTGGCTAAGCGCTGGAGGGCCTTGGCACGCTCCTCACGCTCGACTGCGCGGGGGTTGCTGGGGCTGATGAGGTTCAGGTTCGTGATGGCGCGGTCTAACTTTTGTTCGAGATGCTCGTCGGGCTGTGCTAGGAGGAGGTGTTCGACCTTGGGCAAAGTTAACCTGAGCTGGAAGACGGCTTGCACCGCTTCTCTGAACCAGATGGAATTGGCAATGCGGTCGAGGCGATCATTGCCCTTGGGCAAGAGATAGGATGCTGATGTAGGGGCTTCAAGGGCAGAGTTGTCGTAGAGGGACTCTGTTGACCTCGCGTACCGGATCTGGAGAACGGCGCGAAGCTTCCTTACTGTCTTTAACGACAAGAAGCTTCGCGAGAGGATCATGGTCGTTATGGCGCCCACGTGTGACAGTAGGCCATCGACTAGCACACGAGTGGCCAGGTCGTCAACAGTGTTGCAGATGGCATGTAATAGTTGATCGAAGAGATCAGCATTGATGGTCCACCTTTGGTCGAGGCAGGCAACAAATACCTTTGCGGCATGTCCGATCCTCCTGAAGTCGATGAGGGCCTCGATAATGGCCTCCATAACGGGCTGCTCCAGGTTAGCACGCTCGACGACCGTACGACCGTTAGCCAGGGCGACGTTCGATTCGAGCGCCCAGCGCATGAGTCCACGGTCTTCGTACACATCCGAGATGGACTTGCTACGCATATTCAGGCCTCGAGGATCGCGACCAATGAGGCGTCGGAGAAGCATGTGGAAACCCTCCGCATCTCTCGAGCAGCGGTAGTGGTGAATCAGACAAAGTATCGTGCCCTGGGTGGGACGTAGACGACTCTTGTTTAGGAAATTGTCCACCACGGCGCCAGCCAAAACATGCTCGCCGATCTGGGTAAAGCCTGCTATGAGCATGTTGTAGTTGTGGATTCCCGGCGGTACGGTGTTGATGAGCAGGTTATGGCAGATCTTGGCCACATACTTGTCCCGGCTTCGAGGTCCCTTCCAGTCGGCCAAGATGTTGCAAGTAACCTGGTTGAAGCGCCGGCGCGCTTGAAGTGTCATAGCTTGGTCATAGTGGGCGTGGTGGAACCTGGGATAGCCGTCCTTCTCCAACATGCGCGTTATACTCCAAGCCGACTCGGGGTGGTCCTTCGGAAGATATGACTTGATGCCCTGCATCTCTGACGCCCTGTAGGCGGCTTCCATGAGGTCGTCCACGAGGTCGGTGACCATGTCAATTTGCTTCTCCATCTGCCTCTCGTTTCGAGGTTCCCGGTCCTGGTCCAAGGTCTCCGCCGCAGCTTCTTCAGCCGCAATAGTTTTATCGCAGCTGACAAGACCTTCTCTTCCCATACAAAAGTCCTTGCGCGGGTCCCTCCATGACATGCCAAGGGAGTCGCGCAGCTTCAAAACCGCGGCTCTCTTCTCGGTAGCGCTGGACGCCAGACTCCTGACTGAATCGACATGGTAGTCGCATATAGACTCGAGCGCATCGATCGTAGGCTGGCTGCGGGTTCGGAAGGGTTCGGGTCGGCGGGCGGTAGGTACTGAGCCGACAAGGCGCAGGAGGTCTCCGTCGGCGGCATCATCGGTCATGAGCCTGGCCAGGTTCTTCTTGGCTTCATTGATCTTGCGGTTGAGCTCGCGGCGGCGCTGTTCCTTGTTCTCGGTGTCGACGACGACGGCGGTGGCCGCGAGAGCCGTGTAGCAGGCGGTGGCTACATTGCTGCCGAGGGCTTTCCTGGTTCGCTGGCGGGCGGCGGATCGGGCGCTGGACTGGGCCTGGCGCACAGCTTGAAAGTTGTTGAAGCTATTCGGAGCGGGCAGGCAGGAGTGGCAGCGACAGCCCCGGAATTGGGCTACTGTCGACCAGATCCCCTGCATCGTCGGGGCATGTCTGGTCGATGCGTCACGGCATCAGGAACAAGGGGAGGGCGGGATTTGTTCGGTAACTGGTCGGCGGGTGGATTTGAAAGATCAATTGAAAGGTCGGGTCCGGTCTAGGGTGGGGCGCTTTGAAGGGATGTCCAAATTCCCGTCTTTGCGCTGCAGTGTCGGCCGGGCGTGTTGATTGCGCGCATTCGCATCAGAGGTCAACAAAGCTTCCTTTTAGGGTAAGGGGGACTAAATCCTTAGGGTTGACATCAGGGTTACATACAGGCCATGGTCCGGCGCCTTATTGGAGGTTATTATTCAAGTAAATGCTAAAACTGACCAATCTGTATGTTCAGAATCGAACTGGTATCCTTCGAACTGGGAGTCTGTTCGGTTCGGTTCATTAATCTTGTCATGTTCAGGAAGCCTGAATATCAGGTCTGGAAGTCTTCAAAGAGCTCCCAGAGCTCAGACCATCTCTCAAGCTGGAGCAACAAACTGCATGTGGGGCTAGCAGCTGAGAGAGCTGAGAAGGTGCCCCTCCGCCGTCACCACACCACAAGCTGGTGGCAGCTCCCAATCAGGCAGAGTCTAGAACAAAAGGTCACTGAAGATATCACCTCCGCAGAAACTTAAAAGTTTGATACAAGCCGTGAACACATCCTTTGATAATTACACATATCAACAACAGTCAAAATGTTTGCGCTTTACCTTACCGCTGAGCTTAATGGGTGAGTGAACAAAGAGTCTGAGGGGAAACGAAAAGTCAACTTACACCAACCTTCCAGAGTCACCAACCTCCGCCCTGACGACACCGAGGGAAACCCGTTCTGGTACACCTTCAAGGTTCAGTGCACCTCCTGCAGGGAGGTCCATGAAAAGCCCGTTGGCGTGAGCCGCTTTGTAAGTTCCATTATGCAAACCATCCCCAGAGCAGCCGAAGCATTCCCGGTTACTCACACATTCACCAGGAAAACAACGAGATGAGCGGCAGCCGTGGCGAGGCCAACTTTGTGTGGAAGTGCAAGAACTGCAAGAGAGAGTCGTCGGCTTCCATCATCGCTGCCCCGACCGCCTATGAGCAAACAGAACCCGCCAAGAAGCAAAAGATTATCCAGTTTGACTGCAGAGGTTTGGAGTTTGTCGAGTTCAACCCCGAGGTTAGTCCATGTCCGGTGTATCAAAACCTCAGTGTGTGTACTAACATCAGATATACAGGGTGCTTGGCTTGCCGAGGGTGTTGACTCCAACACCAAGTTCACCGACATTGACCTGACCGAGGGTGAATGGTTCGATTACGATGAGAAGGCCAACGATGAGGTTAGCATCAAGGAGCTCAAGTGGGACATCAACCGGGCTTAGATATGATAAATCCCCAAGGTATCCTTTCACATTATCCGGTCTAACCCTAACCCTCAACCTCTAACTCCTTTCCTGCGATGAACTGTTGGTGCAACTGTTGCTTCGTGACAAAGGACGACGGTGAGGGGATGGAAGAAAAATATGACATCCAAAACTTAGGTAGGCTGAAGGGGCCGCATGTGTCTTGATATTCCCCTTGGCTTTTGAGTCCCTCGATGAGTAGACGGTGGTCTCTGCCAAAGGCGTTCATCAGGAATCAGGTGGCCCGTGCATCAACGTTCGTTTCTCCCCGTGAAAATCCAATTGAACAATTTGCATCACTCACACTTCCATCAACCATCGACATCCGACCTTGTTGTTCAACGACACGACGGGATCACGATGAACGGACCATCTTCAACCGAGCTCTCAGCGACGCTGGACTTTTTAACGGACGCCGCCCATCTACTGGCGACGACAGCGCCAGAGACATCGGCGTACCTCATGAACCAAAGAGGCAACTTGATGTTTGAGAACGAACTGCCGCCCCAGTCCGATGTTCATAGACAGCACGTCTGCCGTTGTTGCGGTCACATTATGATTCCTGGCCAGGGAAGCACCCTGAAGTTTGAACATCAGAAAGCCGTACGCAAGAGAGCAAAGGCTGGCCAAAAGTTCACCAAGACGCCTGTCCAAACGAAGCGACAGATTCACCTTCCAGAGCCTCGCAAAGGGCCAGTCAAGCGCATCACATGCGGCCACTGCAAAAAGCAAACTGAGATCAAGTTCCTGGCCCCGGCTCCTATCTCGAGGCGCAGCATCAACCTGAAGACACAACCACAGCAACAAGCTCCAAAGACAACAGCAACAGGGCTAAAGCCAAATGGGGCGCCTACCCTGGGGTCTCTAGCTGGGCTCTCCGCACAGAAGCCAACCCCTTCTTCCAGTGCAAATAGCAAAAAGCGTGCCAAGTCAAGGAAAGCCGGACTCCAGGCCTTGCTCGACCAGTCCAATGCTTCCAAATCATCCAGGCCTGGACGCGGCTTGAGTCTCGCCGATTTTATGCAGAAATAAAGTTGATCTCTTGGGTTTGAGATAGAGAGCATGGGCCACCGTTTATTACATACCGTATTGGTAAAAACAACCTTCCTCAAAGGCTGGAATGTTCCCGAAGCTTTGGGCAGTGGCTCCATTTCACTGGGTCAATCTGGGCCCGTCCGGGGTCAAGCTTATGTCACTTTGCTCCACCCCCTTGACAGAATACCCCGCCATACCCGATCGCCAGTTGCCCCTCCAAAAATTTCTCCTAGGTCGCTATAAAAGTCACCAGCTGCTGATCCATCACAACGGCCGTTTGCGACAATCCACACCAATATACTGTACCATACCAACACACACAATGCCCGAGGAAACTTTCACCCCTATCGGCCAGAAGGTCGAGGATATCGCTCCCGGCGCCACCGAGGAGACCCAGGCCGAGGATGACCAGCCCCGCGGTGTTGAGGAGATCGAGTCTCTCTGCATGAACTGCCACGAGAACGTAAGTTGGGAGCTGTCGCAAACAGTCGCACCCTATGGATATTGGCTAACAATGGCTCCCTAGGGAATGACACGTCTTATGCTTACCCAGATTCCCTATTTCCGCGAAATCATCATTATGTCCTTCCACTGCGACAAGTGCGGCTTCCAGAACAACGAGATCCAGCCTGCCGGCACCTTCCAGCTTAAGGGCGTCCACGTCGAGCTTCGCCTTACCCAGATGGAGGACTTCGCTCGCCAGGTTGTCAAGTCTGATACCGCCACTGTCAAGTTCATTGAGCTGGATGTCGAGGTTCCCCCTGGCCGCGGTCAGCTCACCAACGTTGAGGGTCTTCTGAGCACCATTATCGACGATCTCGAGTCCAACCAGGGCGCCCGCAGGGAGCAGCAACCCGAGGTTGCCGAGAAGGTTCAGGATATCATCGACAAGGGTCGCAAGATGCTCGCTGGCGAGGCTTTCCCCTTCCGTGTCTCTGTCGACGACCCGGCCGGTAACTCCTTCATCACCCCCGACATGCGCGACGGTGTTGGCAAGTGGGAGAAGCGCGAGTATCTCCGTACCAAGGAGCAGAATGAGGCTCTCGGTCTCACCGACACCAGCAACGAAGGCCTCACCGAGACCGGCGACATCATTTCCCCGACACTATCTACGCCTTCCCCGCCACCTGCCCCGGCTGCATGCACCCTTGCACCACCAACATGAAGATGGTCGACATCCCCCACTTCCGTCAGGTCGTCATCATGAACACCTCCTGCGACGACTGCGGCTACAAGTCCAACGACGTCAAGACCGGCGGTGAGGTTCCCGAGAAGGGCAAGAAGGTCACCATCAAGGTCAGGAACTCGATCGATCTTGCCCGCGACATTCTCAAGAGCGAGTCCTGCTTCCTTGAGTGCCCCGAGCTCAACCTTTCCGTCAACCCTGGCACCCTCGGCGGCCGCTTCACCACGGTCGAGGGTCTCCTCACCCAGGTCCGCGACGACCTCCACAACCAGATCTTCCAGACCGGCGCCGAGAACCCTGGCGCCGTCCACGCCGGCGACTCCCTCCCCGCTGAGGAGAAGGCTCGCTGGGACAAGTTCTTCGCCGACCTCAACGCCGCCATCAAGGGCGAACGCGAGTTCTCCATCATTCTCACCGACCCCATGGCCAGCTCCTACATCCAGAGCTTGGCTGACGACCCGTCCCAGCCCGATGACCAGATGACGGTCGAGGAGTATGAGCGTACCGCTGAGGAGGAGGAGGAGCTCGGTCTCACGGACATGAAGACCGAGAACTACTCTGCGGAGTACGTTGCCGAGAGGGACCACTAAATACCCCTTGTGCGTCTTTGTTGAGTGAGGAGAATGGCGAGAGAGAGAAATCTTAATGAATCTATACCACAGCGACGAAAGGGTGTTGTTGTCAAACTTTTTGGGTTTCTATGGTTTCTCAAAAAATTCGGGTCATGGGTTGGGTTGAACCTGGGAGTTTATAAAGAGATGATGCATTGCATGATAAGGATAAAGCAGCCGTCAGTCATGTTCTGTCATGAGAAGATACCACGATCAGTTTTCTTTTTCTTTTCCTTTTTGTTTATAGTTTCGGCGTTTCAAAATGGATACATATTTACATACCGACATACCACCCAACCTCTTTCTGATATGATGACTTACTTCCCTTGTGTACATGTGGCGTTGTCTTTCGGCAAGCTCTGAGCCGAGCTACATAAGAAACTGCGCCATGGGTAGGTAGAGACACTGGTAACAACCACCAACGGCCGGGTAAGCGACCATCTCTCTTCTAGCATGCATGCCTTTTCTTTGCCCTATGCAGTTCACGTTGGACATGTGTGCCTTCATTGAACTTTGTTGTTTACTCACAAACCACCCAGAGACCAATTCCGGGTTCAACAATGCAGGTTCAGCTCAGTTGGGCTCCTATCCCCCTGTGTCAATGTCGCCACGCCCGAGTACACAATTCAATTTTTTTATGTTGAGTCCGCTGTAGACACTGGATCAAAGACCACACATACATAGTTAAGGTACTCTGGTTCACACAGAGCTTTCAGTCCCAGGTTATATGTAACACAAAGCGTGGCTTAGGCAGATGTCACTCGCTTCAGCTGTGCGAAGAAGAGTTACGTGAGTGACATCGATATCGGCCGAAGTCTCGTGAAGAGTTGCTGTTTCTCGCTTTTGGGTGCCCTTCAACGTCTCAACAAAAAACTCCGAGTGGATGGATATGTTTAGTTTAGTGTCATCGTCAGTGATGGTAGGTCGAGATGATAGAGAGCAGAAGCGAAAGTACGGATCGGGCGTGAGTGAAAGGGTCCAGATAATTGGGTGCATTTAGCGGTACCTATAGCACTAATCTTCACTGACAGATTGAAGAGGATACGAAAGCAACATCAGTCCACAATAGTCTATTAAACTCTGTTAGGTTCAGTCAAGTCGTGATCGTGAAGGATTCGCAATGGGACACACACAACGACTCGACGGCCAATCACATGTGTAACTCCATGATGGTTAAAAACGTGATTGGCGAATCCTGCACCACGCTGATGTGGGTGGTTTCAGAGCTCGGCACTGGAGCGAGAGAGAGATGGACAGTCAGATTGTATCGAGATAAGGCATCATCAATATGATCGGATGTACACAAGACTTTGAGACAATAACTGCCTCTCATGCCATGTTGGGCTGGAGCCTACCTCAGGTATCTGAACCTACACGGTTGCCGTGACTGTTGGTTACCGACAACACTAAACAAATCAGATGTTGTTTCGCTCGGGCAAAAGACGCAATCTCCGCCCGCCTTTCTCAATGGCCTTGGCTGCTTCGCTGATCTCAAAGGAGGCTACACGTAACGAGTTCCATTTTCCTCTGACATGTCGGTCAGTCAATCAGTCAGTCAGATCCTAAGTGGAAGTGGACTTTAATTACCTCAGCCAAAGACTCTTCTTGGAGCTACCTTAACCAAGTGGGACAACCTGGGCAAAAAAGCCATTCAACGAAACACATAGCCATAGTGATAGTACATACATACATACATACCATAGTCCCGAGCGGACTTCAGGTACAGATGTAGGTAGGTAATAAAAGGCAGAAACCCGACACGACAGATTCTAAATAGATCTAGGATGCACAAAACAGCCCCATTCACTCATTTAGTGTCGTCGACTCGAGTGGGTGTGCACGACGATGCTGCACCTACCGCGTCGGCCGGGGCTGTGAATGTGAATGTCGGTCGGGTACTTAATGCCGGCTAACAAACAACAGCGGTGATGGAAGTAACTCTTCTCCGCTGACTTCTGATTGGCTGAACACAGTTGTTGTCAACCACATCATCCCCGTCTTTTGTTCATCCAATGCTCCTGGCAGCTATGAAGGAGGTCTTTTGGTAGTTTGATGTTGGAAATGGGTCCTTAAGGCTCCTAAACTTGGAGTCAAACGAACAACTGCCAAAGATGGAGTTCTTGATCCGGTCTCGATGACAGTTCATGTGTGAATTGTTTCTTTGTTGATCGGTTGATGCTTTCGATATGAAAACCGACGGGACTTAACAGGCAGGAGCGTGCACCTATAGCAGGGGGGTCGAAATAGGCTCAACAGTCTCCAGCTCAGAAGGGGCAGCTGTTAGTTCAAGCCCCGGATTCCCGGCGCAGGTCCCCAATACGTTGACAAATTTCAAAAGTCGCTCTTTCCGCTCTGCATTTCTGTCAAAGACATGTTCCTGGTCTGTTTCCCCAACCTTTGCAATTCTCTTCCTTTTTTTCTCTCTTTTCTGACCCTGTAACCTTTCGGCTTTCAACTCTTCCAATACTTAGCATCTGTCTTCTATCTTCCCCACCGCCAACTCTTCGCCAATCATCACCTTATCTCTGCATTTCTCTCGTAAAATTAAGACAGCTCATGCTCCTTGCATCCATTAATTAACTCCAGAACTCGCTTTTATCTCGCTGAATTCCAAGTCATTACTATTGGACGACGCGTTACTAAGCAACTACCGAAACACTGTGTCCGGTCTTCAAGAGTCTTCTCTCTCCATGTCCACACAAGCTTCTGCGTACTCGTCGAGTTGCTTTTAACCTTCCTTTCCTCCCGCCCTTAACTTCTCGATTGGGTACTGGGCAACAAAGACAAACAAGCAACACCGAGAACACGCGACACCGCTAGAACCGCTTGTTAACCTTTAAGGTCCACAACTGCACTTCATAACAAGTCTGCATCCCAGGTTGAACCTGTCAAACTATCCCAGGCTCTTTGGTTAGCTCTTCCCGGCTTTGACAAAAACACAAGCTCAATTCAGCTTTGTCAAAGCCAATAGGTAACCTGGGTCTTTTAGCAACCTTGGCTACATTCTCACCAACACTCTAGCTGATTGGGTCCTCCCTGGCGTCCCCGGTTTATCTCTGACTCCAGTAGTACCATTCTGTGCTTCGTGTTGTGTTGGTTTGTATTTGTTGGTGGTCCTCCAGGTTGTCGAGAAGAGGACGATCGGTTGCCACTTCTTGGAAAAGTCTCTATTTTTTTGCAACAAGGTAATAAACGACCCTTCATCAAGTTTCATCCCTTGCCTCGAGTTTCACTTATACCTACACTATCTGTTACCGACTTTGGCGTGACTTTTGCGCCGGCTGGCATCCACTTTGCTCCATTTACCGGTGTGTGTCTTTCACTTCACCTTTCTCTTGCTTTCTAAACCCTTTTGTTGCCGTTCCTTCCATCCCATCTTTTTTTTAAGACTGGCCACCCGGCCAACAGGAGCACATTCACTCAACACTCGCCTCCCACACAAACACCATCAACCTTACGGATCTCTTGGCACCCTGGTCCTTCGTTGCCGGCCGTTTACTGATTTTTTCCCCTTCACCTGTCACTCAAGGCAACCACTGGTGTATATCTTTTCGCAACCAAACCAAAAGTGCCGCTCTTCAACCTCTTCCATCATCCATCCTGACAACGCATCACACTGCAAATCATGGCGGATATGGTGGACACAAGCAAGCCCGAGAAGGAGGCGCAAAGCAAGTTCATGGCTGTCCAAGAAAAGTCAGAGCCTATTGTCGTAGTCGACAGCGACAGCGATGCTGAGGATGAGGTCAAGCCTCAAGGCACAGTTGCCGGGTCCCCTCGAGCCGAATCTCCTCTGACAGAGGTTGAAATTGCCAACTCCCAAGCGGAGACTGACGGCAATGTCAGTGGCGAGGAGAGCGAAAAGTGAGTTGGTGATTTCCCTCTGGAACTCGCTCTGCCGGTCGAGGTCTTTCCAAGATCCACCCAGAGTACCAACAAACCCTCTTCTTCCCGTTCCGTCATTCCCAAAGTCGACCTTCTCCTCCAAAATTCAAGCACCTTTGCGCCTTCAACCAACAACAGTCGACGGTTGGGTCTACCAACTGTCAACAAATACAGCTTCGCTAACATGGACTATCTAATTAGGGCTGCTAACACTGTTCTTGCACCTTTGCAAACACCAAGGCAAGTTACTGTCTTCCTCACCCATTCCTCATTTTTTCCCCCACTTCTGCCTCAGAATTCCTTTGGTCGCATGGAAGGGTCCTACCGCACTTGGTGGCAGCAGAGACAAATATGTCACTCATGTGGTTGGTTCTCAAACGGTCAAAAGTCTGCCTGTTGGTAGTCACAATCGCCGTTGGCTGTCAGACCCTTCCCTTGTTGATGGCAGCCTAAGAGAGTCACACAATGCCTTCTTGAGGCCATCTCATACATGTGTCAACTCAAAGGCTTCATAGTCATCATCGCTTGCCCATTCACTTTATTTTCATCCACATCTCTTACCCAGTTGCTACCTTCTTCTCTTGTCTTTGGCCCTTCACGCGGCGCATTGTCATCGTATCACAATACCGCAACCTTTACCATGGGCAGGTCGAGGCGTGTTCGCAGTTGGTCTGTGATGTTCACTCGGCTTCTGAAGACAAGCCCTCTTTACAACTATATTAAGCCCATCCCAAACCAGGAACAACTTGCTAACTCGCTCTACAGCGCCGACGACAACACTGCCACCAAAGACGTCGACATGGCGGAAGCAAATCCTTCCGACACCGTGGCAACTCACGACTACTTTGATGACGACGACAACAATGATCTCACACCCCCTCCCGAGAGCCCCACCCCACCCCCGAGTCACTACGAGGACACAGTCAGCCGTTCCTCTGAGCCGCCTGTTGGCGCTGAGGATGAGATAGTGGTCAACAACGCACGCGCCGTCGAGTCACCCGCGCCAGCTGACCAGGAGGATGTCGAGATGGCGGACAGCGAGGGGAAGCCGCGCAGGCTGGTCGTGCTCAGTTCCAAGCGCAAGCGAGTGAGTACCGGCGAGAACGTTAGAGACGATATCTCCGCGTCCCCGGCGGCCGAGGAGTGGAAGCCACGCAAACGCCAGGGTCCTGGACCGAAGAAGACGCATGGAGTCGGCAATGTCAAGAGTGTCAAGCTCGGCTACTGGAGGGACTCAATTGCGGAGGACAAGAGGGACGCCCACTCAGTCATAGGCTTCATCGATGTCAGGGACAGGTTGCGCACCAAGATTGAGACCGTTTCCAGGGACGGCCGTAGCCTCATTCACCGCTATCCACTCCCGCCTGGTCCTGGCGGTAGCTGGGTTACTTTTGACAAGATCGTCTTCGATCCTCACCTGGTCAACCTTGATCACTTTCAGGTTAAGGAGTACGTCAAGGTCCGGTACGAGCAGATGCAGGCCAACCTCCCGGACGTCAATTCGAAGGAGACGTTGCTCGGCGCTGTTCAGCAGGCTATAGAGAGAGTGAAAGCCAACCCCCCGCCTGAGACTAACGCCATCCCCGCTATCGCGTACGGTCCTGATATTCCAGATCACGTCATCACCAAGCCCGAGCCCAAGAGACGCAAGGTCATTAGCGCTGCACCTATCGAAGATGTTCTCAACGCCGTCGACATTAGTGGTCGTCCATCGCGAGTTGTGGTCGGCACCTGGAAACACTCTAGTTCAGCTAACAGGAAGGACCGGCACGCTGTCCAGGGCATCTTGGCCCAGAACGAGAACTTCCGGTGCAAGATTGTCAACCAAAGCCCCGACGGTAAGGAGGTCGGTGGAAACTTCCCGCTGGGCGCCGGTCAGATCTGGTGCCAGTGGGAGGACGTTGACTTTCTCGATCACCTGCAGGGCATGAGCCGCCCGCAGATCAAGGAGTACGTGCGTGTCCGTCAACGCATGATCGATATGGGCGAGCTTCCGGAGGACAGGGCCAAGAACGATCAGCTGGCAGTTGATGAGGCTCTCAGGCGTCACGCCCAGGGCTTGTCCAAGGATGAGTCAATGACCATCGACGACGAATCTTCGCCCGCTCTGCCCATGAGGGGTACCCGCCAGCAGCAGGAGCAGGCGGCCATGAACGGCAACACCAATGGTGGTGGTGGCTACGACCAGACGGAGGATATTTCGAGACCCGCCAGCGTCCCGCCGCCTCAACAGCACGAGTCTGCTAACTTCCGCCCCATCCGCCAGAGCACCCGCGCCCCTCGCCACTCGCTCCCGGACGTCCAGTTCCGCGCCGCTAATCGCGGTTCTGCTCCTCAACAGACACAAGCCGTGGTCGACCGCCTGGAACGCACCAACAGCATCGCCCAGCGCGAGATCGCCCGCGTCGAAGCCAGCCAGATGCGCGCCGACCAACGCGCTGCCAACCGCGGCTTCCAAACCCCGACCATCCAGCCTTATCCCATGCACCCCCCTCCCAACTTAATCCATAATCCACAGCATCCACACCTCATCCCCATGGCTCCCCCGAGCGGCAGCGGCGGAAGACCCTCCTCACGCGCAGCGTCTGCCGCTCCTTCTCGTAACGGCACCCCTACCTCCTTCCCGCCCGGCCACACAGGCTTGCAGTACCCTCAAGGTCCTCACAACGGCGGTCCTCACAACGGTGGCCCCCACCACAACAACGGAGGCGTAGGCTCAGGCTCAGACCGCAAATCCTTGTTCGACGATAACATTCAGCGCCTGAACCGGGTCTGGGCCGCGCAGGAGGCCAACAGGATCAAGTTCTCGCAGGCGGCCGGCGAGACCATTACTGGTGTCAACGATGCTAAGATCTATGCGGGCATCAAGTATGAGCGCAAGTCGTCGGGTCCGTTTGAGGGCAAGCTTGTGTCCCAGGGAACGATCATCAATATCGATGGGGAGGATTATGTGGAGTATCGGGTTTTGACTAAGCCTAGCTTTTTTTAGGGGGCTAAGTGAGGAACGGTCCTCTGAAAGCGGGTTTTCGGGTCTCTCTCTATGTTTTTTTGTGGGAGACACTCTTTCGAGCGGACTTTTCTCGAGCGACTCTTTCGACGGACTCTCTTTCTTCTTGCGGGAGAGGGAGGCTAAGAAGCAAGAGCTTGGAGAGGACTGAAACGTGGGCTTGGAGTTGGATGAGCGAGTTTTGTTGAGAATATCAAGAACTTCAGCTTTTTCTTTTAAGGAAAGAGCTGGAGTGTGGAATGCATACATGGAAGAAGAAAAAATCAGAGGATGGCATTGTGGAGGATAAGAGGTTTAAAAGAGGGGGTTAAGAGGGGGAGATTCGCTTCGTCGGCTGAAAATGCTGCTTCAACGCTTCAACAAGCATCGATACGATGCATACGAGCACGGAGAGGAAGTTTGGGTCAACGACGCTGTCTCGGCTTTACTGGGGCAAGACGCAGTCCTGAGTCGATCGACCAAGCTCGTGGTTTCCTCCGTTGCTCACGAGAAGGAGAAGCCTGCTGGCAAGTGGAAGCCCAATCTCAACCCACTTCACCAAACTGCGAGTGCAAGGTTACGAGCACCACCGATAACACCAGTTTATAGGTTTTTCAAAGTTGTTGCGGATGGCTAGTTGTCAACTGCACAACATTGAGAAAGTCGTTGGGGTTTTCGGGTACTTACACCACAGCATCGTTTCAAGTTTTTATGGTCATTCAAAGGGGAAAAAAAGAAAGAAAAAAAAAAGGGAAAAAAGAGGAGGAAAAACATTGAGAGGAGGAAAAACATTGATCAGCGGCACTAACATAGATAGGTAGTAGTATTGGTCAGGTAGTATATCCCTTCCTCCTGTCTTTTCTTTTTCTCTCTTCTTCTTTCGTTGATTATCGGTTTCGTTGGCCGGTTGGTGGTTGCTTTTCATCTGGACTTCTACGTTTCACATTTCACGGTTTCTTTTTGCCTTGAGAGTTGCGCAGTTATACCCGTTTCATATTCGCGTTTTGTTTTGCATTTCCTATATCTCATCATTGACACAGGTTTACTAGGCAGCGTTTTTCATCTAAAAGTTTGGCGGGGGGGGGGGGGGGGGGGGTTGGGCTGTGGTCAGGTTAGGTCAGGCGCTTGCATTGCATCATTTCGTTGCGTCAACTTCGTCCAGGTTTCAAAAGTTTCATTGTATGTTTATAGTAAATGTATTGGTTATGGCTATGGTTCATTTCTTTGCGTTCGGCTCAGATTATGGGGTGCTGAAAAAGGGGGGAAACCACGACGGGGAGAATGAGAGGGGAAGGTGGCTGGGTAGTCTGATAAGCGGATAGCATTTCGTGGAGTTTCTGACGGGTCAAAAAGTCAGAAATGCTTGATAGATCAGTAATGAGATCGTGCGATATCATATGGTTTCAAGCTTCGTGAGATCATACTCCTCGATGAACTGCGGATGTGAAGCCTATTTGTTTGTAAGCCTCTGGCAAGTTTGTTCTGGACAACAACAACAACAACAACAACAACAACAACAAGATGTATCGAGTCTTCGCCATGAGTCTCAAGGATTGATTTGGCAACATGCACAGTCGTTCGAGCTTTTCTTCTAATGTTTTGTCTATCTTACTTGGGTATCGTCCTTATATGTATATGATACACCGCCTTGGGGCCAGCGGCTCTATTTCGGCCTCCTTCAAATTTCCCTCAATCATCCACCTATCTTTCCCAGTTCAACGCCATGTACGTCCCCTAGTTCGCCTAATTCCCCCTTCCTCTACCTCCCCTTCCACCCCTTCCACCACCCCTTCCACCTCCGCGTCCTCTCCTCCCCCTACCATTATTCCCAGAAAACTTCCCTCCTCTCGCACCTCCCCTTCCTCCACCCCCACCCCTCTTCGGCCCAGGACTAATCCTCGCATCAAAACCCCTAAACAGCTCCTCTTTCCTGAAACCGCCCTCAGCAAATCTCATATAATTAATCACCCCGTGATCGTTAACCGCCAGCAACACATTCCTGTATCCATGCTTCAGGCGAGCATAAAGACGACCAGGGCCGCCGGTAAGCCATTCGGTCTTGGGCAAGTCGGCGGGCGCTGAGGCCAGGAGGTTGGAGATTTCGGAGAAAGAAGGGACGGAGGTTTGCTGGGCATCGATTACGCTTAGATAAAAATCGGGGGGCGGGGGGCGGGTGCGAACGAATTTTGTGGAGGCTTTGTAGATGTGGTAGTGGATTTTGAAGGGTGTGTCGTTCTCGCGGGAGGTACTGGAGGGTGAGGTGGTTGGCGGGGAAGGGGTCGAAGAAGGGAGTTGCTGGTTGGGAGCAGGCCGGAGAGAGAGGTGGTTATAGATTGTGTTGTAAGACCTGTATAGGCCAGGCGGGACGAGAGGGCCGTAGGGAGGAGGGTCGCCCGGGGAAGAGGATTTCGACTGGGGAAGACAGGAGATGAGCCATTCTGTGACCGATTTCGGCTTCGCCTGCGCTGTTGCGAGTTGAGTGTTGTCCTCCTGGACAGGAAGAGGGTTGCTCGGCGCGCGAATGACGTTGTAACCCGCTCGCTTCAGGTTGCTGAAGACCTGGAACTTTTGCAAGCTGACTTTGCCTCTTTCTCCGTCTTCGCCGATGAGCAGGGCGTAGGCTGCTTGGAGGGAAAGTGGGAAGCCGTATTTGTACTCGTCGTCATCATCATCCTCTTCGTCGTCATCATCTTGCTGTCCGCCGTCCTCCTTGGGTAGAGCAGTAGTCGTAGTAGGCACCGACCCATCAGCAGGAAAGATCTCTTCAATCCCCCTCGTGGGCCACCACAGATCCAAACTTCCTCTCTCCACCAGGTACAGCGCCTCTTCGGGGAGTAACCACTCCCTTCCCCGAGCCGGCCTATCCTTGGGCAATCCGGTAACCGCCCTTCCCAAAGTCTGGGTAGCAACATTGGAATGTTCCAGTATAACCACGCGATCGCGCACATGCAACGGCGGCGGGGCGGCGGCAGTGTCTTCCTCTCCTCTTTGTCATCCCCATCCTGCTTCCCCTCCTTCCGCTTCTCCTCCGCCTCCTTCACCTTCATCTCCTCCCAATCCTCCGGCCACTCCCTCCACCAATCCGGAAAAATCCACCCCCGACACCAACCCCCCGTTTTGGCAGTATGATGCACGCGCGTGTAGCTCAAAACGTCGCGCATGGCCTCGCGACTAGCGTCCAGCGCAGATTGCTGCGCGCGCGTGCCGTGCGACTCGAAATCCTTCTCGCCTTTGCGGATGGTTTGCGCCGAGATGTTTTTGGTTTTAGAGTAAGTGCTGGCGAAGAGGCGGAAGTCGGCTGTGGCAGCGTCTTCGGCTTCCTCGATGTCTTCTTCCATGGTCGTTGAAGGGTCGCTGGTCGAGTTGGTGGTTGCGGGAGGAGGTGCGAGGGAGGGGTTATCCTCGAGGTCGTCGTCAAGTGGCATCTTGGGCAGTGGTTGTGTGGTTGCTTGTGTGAGACGATTAGTTGTTTGGTCGGATGGTCCAAGTTCTCCAATTAATTTTCGAGTTGGTGAAATTTCCCGGCAATGTGTTGCAGTGTGAAAGTGAGGAGGTTTTGAATGAGAATGTCACAACAAGTGGAAGTGAAGTTCTGCACTTGCATGAAGTCGAAAAAGAAAGTGGACCCGCTAGTTGAGTGACTTGTGAAACTTGCCGTGCCTACTCCATACTGTGTTGCTCCCCGCTTTGTGCTACTTAGGAGCTAAAAAGATCCTATAATTCCAACAAGCTCACTAGGCAAGGTGGCCGAGTGGTTAAGGCGTTGTGTTTAGGTTATCTTCTGATTAACTTGAAACCGCAATGGGAAACCTCGCGAGTTCGAATCTCGTCCTTGTCAACGCAAAATATCTTTTTTTATGTCTGCTTTCCCCTTTGACCACTTATATATCTTTTTTTATGCTGCTTTCCCCTTTGACCACTTATGGCTTTCTTGCTGCAGTGGTCACTGAACTTCCTTTTTGTTGTCCGTATGGTCGCGGATCCACCAGAAAGCTTCTGTGATGTCATCTTCAAGGTATTTGTTTTGACTCATTAACCTTCTTCATTCCGCTAGGTACCTGAACACCTTCGACAACGAACATCAAAATGTTTCCGGAACTGACTGGCTAGTTTGCCATCGTTTCTCTGGAACTAATAAACGTACACATACATCTGCTCCCAATATGACCTCTTTCACAGCCTCGTTGATCCATCAGAACACTCATACATTCCTCCAGAACGATGCCGCCGTCGTGTTCCTACTTTATACCAAGCATCAAAAAAATGAGCCCTAGTCATCACGGTCTTTGCTCCTTTATTGACCTGCTTTTTTAGCCCCGGTATATCCTCCTATTAAGTCATCATCCCAAATAGCCCTAGTCCATCCCCGGGGGCAAGATGTCACCAAAAACGCCGCGGAACCACCCGTCTGAGTTTCCCCTACCAACATAGTGAAAGATCGTCTGAATACAACCACCCGTCCAAGTTTGCGCCATTTGAAACCAGCCAGTCAGCGAAATATGTATCGATAAGAAGTTCTGTCGCTTGTATAGACTCAAAGACCTGTCGACAGCACTTCGTAGTCTGCCGAGATCCCGCCCGCAGAGTTGCCGCGGACCGACGATGATTTCCTGGAACAACGGCCACCACATGTTTGATAGTACCCGACACTGGCAGGCCATTTACCATAGCCAAGGTCACACGGCCGTATAGCATGCTAAACCTGTGTCTCAAATCTCCTTTCTACGCCACGTTGATTGTTCGACCCCACAAGCTTCCTCTGTTTGTCGGGGGCGGCCTCCTTTCTCCTCGCTGGAACGTGTTGTAAACCAGAGCCGGGAAGCAGCTGACAGAACTATGTCTATCGCATCAACAATATGCCTGTTGTCGGTTGACAAGTTATTGATTCACTCGATCAATATCTTCTTCACTCCTCCTACTTCGCATAGCCCCAAATGCCGTATCGCGTCTCGCTCATTTGACCGGACAATGACTCGGTCCGGCAGCATCGGATTGTTTGGGTCGACCTTGGACGCATCCTTTGCTGCTTGCTCAATCGCATCCATCTCATCCCTACACGCTTGCTGGTCCATTGGGCAGATAACAATCGGTTGTCGTAGAGTGATGTCCCTTGCAGAGTTCATGTGTGCCTGTTGGAACATATAAGTGACCGATCTATCTGATGGTTTAGTTGCTCAACTCACTTTTATACTCAAAAAGAACTCGATTTTGTAAAGGGTCGATGACGTTGAAAAGCTGGTAACTTCGTACATGGGAAACCCGGGCTTCCCGCGCTTGATGATGCCGTCGGGGTCTCGCAGATCTCGCGCGGGAAAGACAAGCCCCAGGTTTGTGACATAGCCCGTCTCGGTCAACTTGGCCCCTACTGGTTGCGTGTGCTTTGCGATCTTGTTGATTTTCTTGGTTGGTTCGTCGCCCTCGGGATTGAACGTGATCTCCTCCTCAATGGCCAACGTTATCTTATTTATCGTAACCTTTTTTGCCTTACTCATCATGTCCGGATTTGGCGCCAGCTTGATAAACACTGTTATTGGATCTAGTGGCCCGTAACTCCATTTTGGTAGTGAGATACCCAAGGTCACGATGCTATCCGCCGTTACAACCTTGCTTTCGGGTCGGTTGTACATTCCAAATGTCGAAAGGGTATCGTATCGCTGTATTGGTATGGGGAAGGTGTATCTGTTTTGTGTGCTCTGGCCTTGTTGGACGGTAACCACGAGCTCGTAGTAGGTTTCGGCAATTCGGCTGGGCAGTTGCAAGCTCGCAGGCGGAATTCGACGATTTATTTCCTCTCCTCCTCGGCCATAGGGTATAAATATTTGGAACGGCAGGTCCATGGCTATTACGCTCTCCGCCTCTTTCCCTGACACACATCGGAATAGTAGCACCTCTTTGCCCACCAGGTCTACGGTTTCGCGTCGCGGTGTGCCGAGATGTCGTTTCGCCATGTTCTCGGCAGCAGGGTGTATGGTTTCTCGTCGCTGGAGGCAAATGCGCACCATGGATACGCTGACGGGGGCGGAAAAGCCGGCGCTTGGTCGGATCTCGACTTTACCTACTATTCTTGGCTATGAAAACACAAGTCAGCATGGGCGACGTCAACAGGAAAGAGAAGAGAACCTACCAACGTGGCAGAGATACCGGGGTAGCCCACGAGGAAGCTGCTGTTGGGTGGCCCCGATATCCTCACTGTGGCCGGGGCGTATTGTGCAATTAATCCATTCATTTTGCCGTTAGCGCCGGGCGCAAAGTCGTGCGGAGAGGTTTCGTAGCGTTGACAGTGGGATTATGGTCGAAGATGGTGACTGGAGCGGTCTGTTTCGATCATGAACGTATTACAAAGACCGGCCTCGCCGTGTCACAGCTGGAAAGTCGATGGGGTGGACGTCGGTCCCGAGGTGAATGAGGGGCTCGGTGCGGCGGTACGAGCAGCGCTTGGAAACGAAGGTCGCCTCTGGGCCCCTGGCGATCGCGAATGTTTGTATCGATAAGACTGGGGTTCACTTGCAGGGTTACTGCATCCCATTCGGAGTTATCGCAGGCAGGCAAACTGAAGGTCGCAATGGATGCGCGTCGTCGCTGTGGTGCAGCCGTGGGTAGGCAATGTTGTCGGTTATGCTGGGGCAAGGCAGATGAGGCGTCGTGGAATTGGTGAGACGAACAGAACCGGACTGGTTGAACGAATACCAACGTTCCTCGAAAAGTGGAAGTTTGGTTGGTGAGCGGATGGCGGAAGGTGAATGCTACACCCGACTGTGTTTGTTGACCGCAAGCCTAGACCTGGGCTATAGGAAGCAGTTCGAATGGAGAAGCAAGTGGTACGGTTCGCACACAACAGCCGTTGTTGGCGCAGCGTTTCCTCAAGTTGGGGCGCGGCAATCCTTTGTTGTCCGGCCGGGTTGGGGGCCAAAAGGAAGTCGTCGTCAGTGACCGAAGGTTGCGGTTCAAGGGGAACGTCAAGGTCAAGACGGGAGTGAGAGAGAGCTCCAAGACGGGATCGATAGTCAGCTTCAGAGACGGGGTCGCCTTGTCCGCGTCGACGGTATCTGGAGGGGCCAATCGCGGCAGGAGGTCGTAGTCCTCGCAGAGCTATCGGAACAGCAAGGAAGACACCACGTCAGATGGCTGCTGTCGAGTCGGGACCAGTGCCAGTGGTTGATGTCAGCTTTTGATGACTGAGTTGAAGTCCCGGCGTAAAGCAGTACTCTAGATAGGTGTGACAAGATGCGAGGCCGGCAGGCGCCAAGGACAGTCGCGGCGGCAGCTACAAGAAGACGGGAGAGCTTCGCGAGCTTGGAGTACTTCAAAGTTAAAAAGGTAGTGTACAAAGTCAAGAGCCGCTGAGCCCGCTAGGACCAGGAGTACAGGTGGATCTGAGGAGAGGAAAAAGGGAAGCTGAAGAGCCCGGTCTTGTTCCTGGTTCTCGGAGCGTCACCAAGGGTTATCCCCAAGGTCTCCCCTCCCTTGTAGGCGGTGGGGAACGGGGATGGAATCGGGGATGGCGGTCGCTAACACGCGCAGGTGCAAGGCTGCACTGTTACAGCGCCAGGTCGCTAGCATCCTTCAGCTTCTTGGTGGCCCAGGGTGGAGGCGGGATGGACGGTTAAAGTGGAGAAGTAGAAGTTGAGCTGACAGCAGCAATCATTTGGTTTCAGAGCCTTACAAGAGACAAGACACGATGAATTGTAATTTCAAACTCTTTTCATAATCGAAAATAGAAGCTAGAAACCTCTATACTGTACTTGCAAGATAATATCCACAACCCTCATCCCAGTACCTCAACCCAGTTCCTCACTCGGTCAAGCCGGATTTTGACATCTCCAACTTGGAACTTTCCACTTATTCTTCATTCGACTTCCAACCTCCAACTTCCACTTGAACTCAGTAATCCACAATGCGGGAAATTCCACCGTCATTACTTATCAGACCAGCCCATCAGCTCGGGCCGTTTCAGTTTGGTGCCTGACATGGCTTGATCCCTTTACGCTTTCAATACAGTATTCCCATTTGAGACATTATTCCATGAAAGACTTTCCATCTATCAAAGCCTAAAACAACAGAAGGGAGATTGACCTCTAGGCATTGACAAAACTCCCAGCTCGGACACTTCCATTAAGCACAGCACAGCGGCATGGCAAGCAAGGGCCAAGGGGGCCTGGCGGGAGAGGGGAAGAGGGGGCGGCCGATAGGGCTGGTGTGGTCAAAGCTTCCATCTGCATGCGCATCCAATCAGATCAAATCACAGATCCCGGCCCTTTCTGTTCAGGTCCAGCCCC